GCCAGCTCCTGTTTCCCCACTGCCACGTGCGGTGCCCTGAGTGCAGCCGGAGTGACCTTGAGCCCAGTCAGATCTGGCACGCCTGTTGGTGTTCCCCACTTCTCCCTCTGCTGCCTGTTCGCCGCACATCTTGAGTGGCCTCCTGTGGAGGTCCGACTGTCTTTCCCTGCTCACACCCTCACGGTCTGCTGTGGTAGGTCCGACTGTCTTTCCCACGCACACCCTCATTGGCTTCCTGACCCCGTTGGCCGGTGTCCCGCAGATGGTTTCCCGGGAAATCCCTCTCCCCAGCCGGCCCGCCTTCACCGCGCTCAGGGTGGAAGGCTGTAGCAGCGCCTGACTGTGCCGGGAAGGACTCGTCTTCCCGTGCCCGCCCCGCTCTCATCCTTCTCTCGCTGTTACGCTGCTGTCTTCCCCGTTCACAGTGGGAGGGAAGTTGGAGCTTTGGACTCAGCCTGTCAAGGGACTTTGCATCCTTGCCGGTGGCTGCAGGGGGAGCCCAGGCGGGTGGGCCACACCCTGTGCTACTCCGGGGCTGTTTCCAGGTCTGACTTCGGGAGAGACCCTGACAGTGTCTGGGGAACCCTCTGTCCCGTCAGCCGCCTTCAAGGCGTCAGGAACGCCTGTACCGTCTCCAGGGCCCCTGTATTCTCTTGTTTTGCGTCTTGGTTCCTCTGTGAAGTCAGATTATATTTTCTTACTCTCATGATTTTTTATTGTTGGTGTTCCGTAAAGTCCCTGCAACATAAAACCGGTTCTGTACATGTTGGTCAGTGTCTTTGAAAGTCAGCGGCTGACTTTGAAACCTGATGACTTTACAAAGCCAGTGACAGCGATATTTGAGTGTTTTTTTTTAGCAGGATTATGGATGAAACTTCGCATCATCTCTGAAACCCAAACCCAAACTGCTTTCCTTCACCATCTCTCTGATCATCTCTAAGTGATACAGAACCAATCCGTCAGCATCTTTGTTTGCTTAAATTCAAGAAATCTCCCCATGCATTTATTTCTGAGGGTTGTTCCCAGCGTTCAATGAAACATCTTTCGTGCATATGTTTTGTAGGGTGGAGTTTCTTGTCCCTTAAGTAGCAGCGGGTTAGTAGTTCCTGCCTTCCTGGCGGTGCTCGGGGGAGGGGACCGTGCGGGCTGCCAGGGGTCGAACCTGGGCCGGCCGCCAGCCGGGCCAGCGCCCTCCCTGCCGCACTATCGCTCCGGCCCCGGGGGGAGCCGGGATCGGTTCCGTTCTGGCGTGGGGCGGCTTGGGCCATGCTCGGGGCTCACAGCCCCGGAGCTGTGGCTGGCCGGTGACCCGCCCTCCCTCCCCACAGCGCCACACGGCTCAGCTGCGGGAGGAGCTGCTCAAGCTGCCCTGTCCCGACGGCCTGGACCCCGACGCCGCCGCCGACACCGCCGAGCTGTGCAGCGCCACGGCGGGGCCCGAGGAGACACTGCTGCCCGAGCAGGGCAGGGCCAGCGGCAGCAAAGACCTCCCCGGCGACTTCCAGCTCTGAGCGCGTGGACACGGACCTCGTGGGCACGACGGCTCCGAAGCACAAGCCAAATATGTCACTGTTTGTATGTAAGAAACCGATGATGTGCGAGGGGACGCGTGGGGCCCGGCCCACGCCCTGCAGGAGACCCCGCGGACTCGCAGCGGTCTTTCATTTACTGTACCAGAGTGGAAACTTTTTTGTGCTTTTTTTTTTTTTTCCCGATTGTGAGAACCACTGATTGGTCTGTTCGGCAAATTTGTGTATACGAAGACGCGGATAAATCACTGAACTACAAGGGGAGCTACCTTAGGAAAGAATGTTTACTGAATGTTTATTATTATTATTTTTTTTTTTACTGTAGAGTGAGGGGTTGTTAACAAAGGATATATATTGGTCATTCTTACAACCGCTATTTAAAGTCGGCCCCGTTTCACGGAATTGGGTCTGTCTGGCCACACCTTCATGCTTCTGTCTGACTTCTGAAGACCTCTTACGTACACTTCAATAAAAGTTACATGGACATACTCCCTGTTTTTTGATTTACTGATACATTTTTTAAATGGTAAATCTGCCATAAAATGCATTATAGATGGAAAACTTGCACTTGTATGGATGAATTTATTACATTCAACGTATTTAATTTTATGCCTTCTAATTCTAAGACGCAGAAAGAAAATAAATGAACATGATTTTATTCTATGCCAACATTTGGGCCTCTGGGTGCATTTGTTCTTTGAATTGAAGCCTCCGAGACGCAGCGGCCAAGTTGCACAGCGACCCTGCACCCGTTACCCCAGAGCACCCCGGAACCGGGGCATGTCCCGTGCCTGCCGGTCAGCCCCATCTGGGACCCCAGGGGACGCGAAGGCCACCCCTCGGCCCCTTTCCCGTTTTGTCCGTCTCTGTCTCTCTGTGTCTGTTTCTGTCTGTCCCTCCCCCCCAAGATAGAGGAAGCCCCTCGCAGCACCCTCTGCCGCAGGGGGCCAGTGGGGCAGCCTGGGGGCTTCTTGTCCCTTAGACCCTCAGGGACCATGCCAAGGTGCAGACCACGGGACGTCCTGCGTTAGTGGCTTCTCTCTGGGCTTTCCTTCTGGTGCCAGAAACAGGCGCACGGCCCCCCTCCCATGCACACAAGTGCCGTCCACCTGAGCTGCGTCCCCAGCCCAAATGGTCTTCTCCTGTGCAGGAGCGGGGCGGCCTTTGGGTCACCCCCTGCAGTGCGTGGTTGCTCCTGGCCCCGCTGCCAAGGGCCAGCAAGTGGTGCCAGCAGCTGCCCGCCCCAAGCCCGACGGGAAGCCGCATCTCCCCGGGGAAGACTCGAGAAAAGGAAGCCCAAGGTCAGGACTAAAAGGTCTGGCTCCTGTTCTTGAAGGACCGCCGCCAGAATTAACACTTGAGCAGATGACGCACAAGCGGGTCCTTCGGAACCCAGACCGGACCTGGCACACTCCTTTTTTCCATCCACCAGGTGAAAGCAGCGCTCTGTACCGCACCTGCAGCTGCCTACACGCTTCGTGGCGCTTCCTGCGCTGCCCGGCCCTCTGGTCCCTGAGCTGTCCCAGGGTTCTGTGGGAGCCCCGAGGAGGGACCTTCTCGGACCCAGCGCTCTTGGGCAGAGGTCCGGGAAGGCTGTGAAAGGCAGAAGCTGCCACTTGCCAGGCACGGCAGCGTCCCACGCAAGGAGAGCAAGTGAACCTGACACTCATGGCCCAGCGTGAGGTCACGGCTTTGGCGGGGCAGGGGCTGGAGAAACAGTTGCCACCCGGAGTCTGTGCTGGCCGTTTTGAGGTGGCAGTAAAGCCCCGTGGCCCTGGAGCCCCGGATGTTGCTAGAACTGGGGGGAGGTTAGAAGTTTCAAGATGATCCTGCGACTCCCTGCAGCCAGGTCCCAAGGGGAACAGTGTGAGGGGCGGGAAGGTGCCCACTGATGTGTGTGGTGTGGCATGAGTGCGGGCTGAAGAGCCTGGGGAGGATGGGTACCGACCCGTCTTCCAAGGAGGCCGCACGCAGCATGCATGGCCAAGAGGATCCGAAGGAATCCAAAACCAACGGAACCAAACGGCCGGTTCAAAACACCCAGCACGACTGTCTTCTAAAGAAGTGTTGCGGGCCAGAGAGATAGCACAGCGGGTAGGGCGTTTGCCTTGCATGCGGCCGACCCGGGTTCGAATCCCAGCATCCCATAGGGTCCCCAGAGCACCACCAGGAGTAATTCCTGAGTGCATGAGCCAGGAGTGACCCCTGAGCATCACCGGGTGTGACCCTAAAAGAAGAAAAAAAACACGTTGCCATCCCACGGTGGCCCACCGGGCCGAGCAGGTGCTGCCGGAGTTTGCCTTGGCCCTGCCATCTGGCAGAGAAGTGCAGTGAGACATGCGCCAGGAAAGGTGGTGAGGTGGCGGGAGCCAGGCTACGGTGCTGGGGCGTTGGCGGGAGGCGGCTGATCCCCAGGGCCAGGTACGGTCCCAGGACTCCCGACAGGAGTGATGCCTCAGTCACTCCGGGTTTGGCCCCAGAACCAAGAAAAAAAGACTGGGTAGACCGTGCATTGAATCTGAGCACCTCACTTCTCTTGTGTGGGTGCTCAATGCCGGCACGTTACCCCCTCTCTCTCCCGCTCCCTTGCCCCCAGCTGCCCTTTAAGATCCTGGTGCCAGGCACAGGATTAAGACCTGACCCGGGTAGCGCCAGGGGTGAGTGGGCAGCACCCCGCAACCCGGAGTGGGTCCTTGGTGCGCCCTGGCCAGGAAAGCGGCCTGTGGCGGCCAGACCCCGGCGGTGCAGGGGGAAGAGTCAGGACCCCCATCCCCAGGGGCTTTCCTCTGCCGGGAACCCAAGTGCGGTGCCCAGTGGTGGTGACGGCAGTGAGGACCCCTGTCAGTCCACGAGGAGGCCGGCCCCGCTTCCCGGCCGAGGCTGCGGGGGTCCCGGGCGGACCGACGCGAGCATCTCGCCTGGCTCCCGGGGTGGGTGGGGGGTCCCCGGGGCGGGCTCTCCCTGCACTCGCAGCTGCATCCCACCCCGGGGTGCTTTTGCTCCTCGGCGGGCCTGGCACCCGGGATAGCCCACTTCTCTACACCTCGGTCATCCGGGAGCCCCCTGGCGCCGCCAGGGTCGCCCCCCACGCTCCACTCTGGGGCGGCGGGAGGAGGATGCCCTCGGACCCCGCGGGCGCAAGCCGGGCAGGGAGGCAGCTGGACGCCCGGAAATAAGAGGCGGATCCCGGAAGCGCCGACCTCGTGGGCCCGCCCCGGGGGCGGGGCCAGCGGCCGCCCCGCCCAATCCCCGCGCCGGGCGGGGCGTCCCCCGCGGGCCTGCGCGGCACCGAGCGCGCTGATTGGCCCCCGGGGCGGAAGCCGCGCGGGTGGGCTTTTTCCCAGGGTGCCTCGCGCAGCCGTCATGGCCGCGCCCTGGCCCCGGTCTCCGCACGTGGGGGCGTAGCCGCCCCGAGCGTCCTGCGTCCACTCCGGCCTCGGTGGGCCCTCGGGAGAGCCGCCCGCTCCCGCCGCCGCCGGGTCCGGGGCCATGTGGGGCCCCGAGGCGGCCGTCCTGAGGGGCTTCCCCACGGGGGCCGAGCGGCAGCGCTGGAAGCAGGACGGGGTCGCGGACTCGGGTGAGCGCGGGGCCCCCGCGAGGGCTCAGGCCCGGGGGGCGCGGGGGGACGGCGGCTGCTGGGCTCAGCCTCCGCGGCGGGTCGTTGCTGTCCCTGCTCGGGGGCCGCGTCCCGTCGGGCCGTTGCCCCCCTTGGCCGTGCCCCCGGCCCGCGGGGGGGGCGGGGAAATGCAGCGACGGCGCCGCCCCCCGCGCGCCCACCCCTCCGGGCCGGGCCTGCTCCTGGCCCTGCCCCTGGCTGGCACCCTCCTGGGGGCGGGGGTCCGGCCCTGCCAGCACCTTCGCTGTCCAGCTGTTCTCCAGCCCGTCTGTTGCTTTCCTAGGCGCTTCAGATCCGTATTTTCGGGTTTGGTGGGGGAGGGGGCGCACATCCGGGGGTTCCTGGGTTGGTTTTGGGGCCACACCCGGCGGTTCCGAGACTTTTCCCTGGTCTTGCTCAGTGAGTGCCCTGTGGCTGTTCCAGGAGCCGCAGCGATCAAACTTGGGCCGACAGTGGATGCCCACAGTGCCTGCCTGCCAGCCTCGTAGGAGCTATCCTTTTTTTTTTTATTATTATTAATTTACTTACTTATTTATATATTTTTGCTTTTTGGGTCACACCCAGCGATGCACAGGGGTTAACTCCTGGCTCTGCACTCAGGAATCACCCCTGGCGGTGCTTGGGGGGACCCTATGGGATGCTGGGAATCGAACCCGGGTCGGCCCCGTGCAAGGCAAACGCCCTCCCCGCTGTGCTATCGCTCCAGCCCCTCAGTCCTCTTTGACGGATGGAGACATCGGGGCATTAGTGGGCCCAGTCATAAGGTGAAGGCGCACAGTTGGCAAGCAGAGGAGAGAGCGGGGCAGCAGAGACGGGATGCTTGCCACCCGTGATGGAGAGTTCAGAGGAGTCTCCGCTAGTGGGACTCGGACGCCTCTGGCCGTGGGTCTAGGCTGGATGAAGAGCCGGCGTCGTTTAGGAACTGTCCAGGTGCAGGAGAGGAGGTTTGGAGAAGTTTCACGGAAGAAAGGAGGCTGAAGCTGAGTTTTGGTTAGGGGTCAGCCCGGCCTGCAGAAAACAGCTGGGCAGCAAAGAAATCACAAGGGTCAAAGTGCAGAGGCTCTTAGGGGACAGTGAGTCAGGCTGCCTTTCGTCGGGGGAGTGGGGCAGACCTCACAGGAGCTGAGGAAACGGCTGTGGTCAGTCGGACTCTCCGTCCCCATCACAAGGGTGGTAGGCTACTGAGGAATATTGCCCACAGTCTCAGGTCCGTCATGTTGCTCTTCCAAAATATTTGAGAGAATGATGGGACTTTGCCCCGAGCTTTGGGATACTGTATGGTGGCATTCTCAGGATGCACTTTCCTTACTGACATTCGATTTACCTGCTAGCGTGAAAAGTTGCTTTAGGGCCAGAGCCGTAGCGTGAAAAGTTGCTTTAGGGCCAGAGCCGTAGTGCAGGAGGGAGGGCATCCTGGCACCTGGCTGACCCAGGTTTGATCGCCGGCATCCCGTCTCATCCCCAGAGCACTGCCAGGAGTCATTCCCGAAAGCAGAGCCGAGAGTTACGCCTGAGCATCACTGAGGATGATGAAAAAAATTGCTTCCTAAAAGGATGACTTGAATTCTTGGATTTGTTCCTGTCTTGGGTTTGGGGCCACGTGTACTTTTGGTCTTCACGTACCTGGCAGTGCTCGGGGGAGCCTAAACATTTCCGGAGTCAAACCAGGGCCGGCCGCAGCTCACGCGAGGCGAGGCCTTAGGCTTGGGCCTTATTCTCCTTTTCCAGAGAGTGGCTCTTTCCTGCACCTGCTGCTCGAAGGGAAGTATGAGGCCGTCTTCTCGCATCCCGTGGCTCAGGGCATCCTGAATTCAGCCACGGCGACCGAAGGAGAGATTGGCAGCTACCTCGAGAAGCAGATAGCAACGTTTCTGGATAGCTCCACAGATTTCGACAAAATTACAAGGTAGGGCTTTTATCTGAAATTTCCGCCAAGTAACTGACTGCCTTATGGGGACACTGAATCCGTTTAAGGTGCTTTGTCCGGGGAAGGCATTGTTCCACGGGTCGGAGAAGAATGAGATTTTCCGTGTAGTCTATGGAGTCAGGATTCTCGAGGAAGCAGAAAGACCGAGTAGACGTGTTTGGCCCCCAGGCACAATCCTGTTGGGATGAACAAGCAGAGTGGTGTAGGGTGTGTGTTTCAGGGACACTGACATCTGATTGGGTGGAAAGTGCTCATCCTGACCTGAACTTCCAGATGCTTAGGTCTGATAGGCTTTAGCCACAGGTAAGACTTCCTTTTCTTTTGTTTTTGAGTTTGGGGCCACACCTGGCTTCCTCAGGGCTTACTCCACGCAGAGATTGGGCGACTTTATGTGGTGCCAGGGATTGAACCCAGATCGCCTGCTTCAAGCCAGCCATCTTACCCGCTGTACTGCCTCTCCTTCCCTTGTGTTACTTTTTTATTGTTGTTGTTTGGGGATCACGCCTGGCGATGCTCAGGGGTCACGCCTGGCTCTGTGCCCAGAATGACTCCTGGCGGGGGACCATCTGGGATGCCGGGGATGGAACCTGGGCCGGCCACGTGCAAGGCGAACGCCCTCCCCGCTGTGCTCTCCATTTCTGCCCCCCTGTGCAGGCAGCAGCTGGTCTTCCTCCTTGGCGTGAGCAGTCTTCAGCTCTTCGTTCAGAGCAACTGGACGGGGCCCCCTGTCGCTTTGCGCCCGCAGGACTTCCTTCCGGCCGCTCTGTGTCCACAAGGCAGTGAGGTAGGGTCGGCTCGGCGGGGCGGGGCGGGATGGGCCTGACCGCTCCTCCGGGGGCCCTTGTCGGGGACAGAAGCAGGACTTGAGTGCCCACCCGGAGCCCTTGAAGGTTGACCTTGGCGGGAGGCCAGAGCCGAAGTCCAGCAGGTCCATGCCCCTGGCAGTGCTTGGGGGACACTCGTGTGTGTGTGGGGGGGGGGGGGAGACCGAGGCCGGGTCAGCCGTGTGCGAGGCAGGCACCCCAGCTGCTGGGCTGTGCTCCGGCCCGGCCCCAGCATTTTCCCGAGTCACCTGTTCCCCTGTAGTAGAAGCGGGGGGGTGACCACCAGAATTGGCATGTTCCCAGCGCATCTAGAACGTTCTCCTTTGTCCAGGGTATATAGATGAGCTGTTTGACTTCAGAGCAAGATTAAAGGGAAAACGTATCATCCCAGTCTGTAAAGATTGACATTCTGTGAACTGTTTGGGGTGTGTGTGTTTGAGTGTATGTTTGGGATGTGTGTATGTGTTTGGGTGTGTATTTGGGGGGGTGCTTTTGGGTGTGTGTGTGTTTGGGGGGGTGTGTATTTGGGAGTGTGTGTTGGGGGTGTGTATTTGGTGTTGTGTTTGGGGTATGTGTATATTTGGGGGGGGGGTGTGTGTTTGGGGGGTGTGATTAAAGCAAGGTAAAGGTAAAGGCCCTCCCGTTGATCGTCGATTTGCTCGAGCGGGCCCAGTAATGTCTCCATTGGAGACTTTGTTGTTACTGTGTTTGGATTAAAGCAAGATTAAAGGGAAAATGTATCATCCCAGTCCATAAAGATTCATATTCTGTGAACTGTTTGGTGTGCGTGTGCTTGTGTGTCTGTGTGTGTATGTGTGTGTGTGTGTGTGTGTGTTTGGGGGTGTGGTGTGTGTGTGTGGTGGGGCACTCCCAGTGTCCCGAGGTCCTTGGGGTCCCTGGGCAGGGTGTTTCCTCCAGCCTGGGTGCCGGGCCGGCTCTGACGCCCCTCTCGGCCCTCAGGTCAGGGGCCTGGACACGGCTGTTCTGCGTACGCTCGTTCTGGATGGAGAGGCTGTCTACAGCCTCACGGCGACACCCGTCCTGCTGCTGCTGGCCCGTGTCATCCTGGTGTGCCTGGGGCCCAAACTCTCCAGCATCCAGGTAGGAGCGGGACCCCCGGGCAGCGCCGCAGTGAGCGCAGCTGCAGGGAGCAGTGCGGCCCGGAACTCGCTCCCGCCAGCACCCCGCTACACCCACTGACACCCCCTGCTACACTCGCTGGCTCCCACCTCCACACCTGCAGGCACCCCCGTCTACACCCACCCACATCCCTGCTACGCCCACCGGTACCTAGCCCCACCTGCGGGCATTTAGCCGCACCCACAGGCAAAGCTCAGGGGTTGCTCCTGGCCCTGCACTCAGGAATTGCTCCTGGCAGTGCCTGGGCACCTTGTGGGGTGTCGGGGACTGGGCCCGGGTTGGCTGCGTGCATGGCGAGAGTCCCGCCCACTGTGCTTATCGCTCCGGCCCTGTTAACAGTTTGAAGACCTGGTCTTGGGGCCAAGAGATGGGTCAGGGATTAGGGCACCGGCCTTTTTGTGGGGGGTGGGGGCGGGGTCCCACCCGGTGATGCTCGGGGCTGACTCCGGGCTCTGCACTCAGGAATGACTCCTGGCGGTGCTCGGGGGACCCTAAGGGAAGCTGGGAATCGAACCCAGGTTGGCCGCGTGCAAGGCAAACGTCCTCCCTGCTGTGCTGTTGCTCCGGCCCCTCAGGGGTCGCAAGCAGCCGCCTTGGTTCAGTTCCCAGCACCTCACGGTGCAGCCCTGGGGTCCCGGCACTGCTGTGACCAGGAGACGGAGCACTGCTGGGTGCTGGGTGAGACCCTGAGCACTGCAGCCTGGAGTCACCCCGGATCCCGACGCAGGAAGAGTGGAAAGGCTGGGAGGCTTGGCCAGCGCCAGGCCCCGGGTTCCCGGCAGCGTCACTGGCCAGGGTAGCCCTGCACGTGCCCACACTACCAGTGTCACAGGGCGCGGGCACGGCTTGGACATGCCGGTCCGTGTGAGATCAAAGAGTCAATGAGTCTCCGTGCTGGAGTCGGCTGAGCGGGGGTGGGGCCGCAGCCTGTGTCCCTTGGAGGCCTCTCACCCATGGCCTCTTTCCCCAGACCCTGCCCTGGTGGGCACTGCGGTATGTGGGCATCCACCAGCAGCTGCTGGACGAGCGCTCCCCGCGGCTCCGTGCCCTGGCCGAGGACTGCATCGAGCAAGGTGGGTAGCGTCAGCTGGGGCCGGGGCGGGGACCCCGCCTCGTGCACCGTGTGGTGCTGGGGATGGAGCTGGGGTTGGGTCCACGACAGGCCTTCCCAGTGTCCTGTCTCTGGCCCCCCACTTGTGGTTTGAGGCCCACCGGCCCCCCTCACCCCACCCCACACACACACGGTCCTGTCTCTCCACTCCGAGACAAAGAAGACCCTTTCCTTCTCCTCCTGATGGGAAATCTTCAACCCCTCGGGGCCCCAGAGTGGCCTTTTTTCAAAGCCTATCCGTCTGCAGCGCTTGCTTACAGGGAGGGAAGGTTCTGGACACTTCAGAGAGGAGTTAGGGACGAGCCCAAGGCCGCGCATATCGGTCCTCCTCACCGCGCTAAGGGATCACTCCTGCTGGTGCTCGGGGCCCTAAGGGATGCCGGGGATCGAACCCAGGTCGGCCGCGTGCAAGGGGGGCGCTCTACCCGCTGTGCTGTCGCGCCATGAAAGGCGTGTTTTTTTTGAGGCACTCGTTGGCACCGTGGCTTCCAGCCTCTTGCTACTGGGGTTCCGTGTGGGGCCCGGCCCCTCCTCTCAGCGCCCGTCCCCGTGCCCGCTGACCGCGTCCCGCCACCGTCCTCGCCGTGTTCCTGCCCCTGAGCTGGAATAGTTCTCAGGGTCTTCGTTGCTTTAGCTTTGACTTGGCTTCTGGGCCACATCCGGGCTCGCTTCCAACTCTGCACTTGGGGGTCGCTCCTGGTGGGCTCAGGGGCCACACGTGGTGCTGGGACTGAGCCGGGGCCGGCCCACGCAGTGCCGTTGGGTTTGGATTGCTGGCGCGGGGACCCAGGGGCACTGTGGGCGCCGGGCGACACCGGGCCCTGCCCTCGCGGCCCCCGCTCTGAGCTGTCTCCTCAGCCCTGTTACTCTCGGAGACTCAGGTGCCGTGTGGATGGGGGGTGGGATTCATCCCATCGGATTTTGTCCGTAGAGAACGGATTCTGACTTGATACATTAAAAATATTTTTGCCTGGGGGCTGGAGCAATAGCACAGCGGGGAGGGCGTTTGCCTTGCACGCGGCCGACCCGGGTTCGATTCCCAGCATCCCATATGGTCTCCCGAGCACCGCCAGGAGTCATTCCTGAGTGCGTGAGCCAGGAGTAACCCCTGCGCATTGCCGGGTGTGACCCAAAAAAAAAAAATTTTTTTTCCTGATCTAGGAGCAAACGGTTGGCTTAAACAGAAGGAGTTCTCTGTGCAGTTGCTCTTGGGGTTTTCTTGTCTGGGGTCCACAGTCTGCAGTGCTCTGGGCTCAGGGCTCAAACCCAGGTCAGCCCCGTACAAGGCAGGCGCCCTCCCCGCTGTGCTGTCCAGCCCACCCGGCCACAGCTCGGCCCCGGGAGAGGACGGGGTTGGGGCGGGCCCGGAGGGGGAGACCCGTCTTCCTGCCCACAGGCCCTGGGTACCGGGCTGCCGGCACGCGCTGGGGTCCAGGTGATGGGGACTGATACCCCCAATGGGCCCCTGCAGGAGTGGGTGGCCGGGAGTGATGGGCGCGGCCCGCCCCGACTTTGTGCTTGGGACAGTCAGGTGTGACCATCGTGACCATCAGGGAGAGCTGAGCTTTGTGGTGTGGTTGGGACTCGCTCAGGGACCAGAAGGTTCTGTTCCGGGGTGTGAAGGGGACGACACCACTCACCCAGATTACTCTTGGCGGGGCTCGGGGGCCCGGTGGGGTGCCAGGGAGTGGGCCCGGCTAGCGGCCTGTGTGGCGAGGGCCCTGCCCGTCGGAGACTCCTGGCCCCCAAGTCCGGGTCACCCTTTGTTTGGCAGTGAGGAAACTGGAGCATCTGTTTGAGGGCGCCGGCGGCCGCTGCCTGGCCGTGCAGTTCCACCTGGAGTGTGCCCACACGCTTCTGTGTTACTACGAGTACAAGAAGGCCAAAGAGCAGCTGGACATCGCCCAGGGCATCAGCAAGCTGCGCATCGACCTGACGGGTGAGGGTGGGGTGGGGGGCGGGGATTTGATTCTCCGTGTCTCGGTCTCGGCGTTGTAAAGAAGATGTTACTGAATTCTTTCAGGTTTAGGACCCGCGTGAAATGATAAATGTTCTTTCTCCCTGGACACGCCTCTTGGCGGCGCTCGGCAGACACGGTTGCGTGAACTCGCCTTGGACCCGCTCTGTATCTCGGGCGGGCGTTGGGCTTGTTCCGTGGGCCAGCCGGGCCGTGCTCAGGACCCACTCTGGGCTCTGGACTCGGGATCGCGCCTGATGGGGCTCAGGGGACAGTCAGCACCCGGCGCATATCAAGAATGTTCTCGAGCGGGCAGTTGGTTTGACCGAGAAACCGGTGACGACATTTTACGTTTCCCGCAGGCGCTTTGGGGAAAAGGACGCGGTTCCAGGAGAATTACGTGGCGCAGCTTGTTCTGGACGTCCGGCGGGAGGGGGCCGCCCTCGAAGAACAAGAGTTCAGCCCCGCCCCGACTCCGCGGGAGCACTTAACCAAGGTACCGGGATGGCGTGCACTGCTCATTGCTGGGTGCTTTGACTTGGGCTTTGGGGCTTCTCCTGCGGTGCCGGGAGTGAACCCCGAGCTCTGACTCTGGGGGCCCACTCTGCTGGTTCCGGAAAGAGCCGGGCGAGCGCTTGGAAGATCTGGATGACAGTTGATGTTCTCTCGCGCCCTTGCGTGTGTCTGACAGATCAGGTTTCTGTGGCCAGCGCTGGCCTGTGGGGGAGCCTCGGGCAGGGCCAGGCGCTTGGGCTCTTGTGCTGTCCTGGCCATCCAGGAGGGTGAGAGCCTGGCAACTGATCCAGGGCATCAGGGCTGCCCGTGGCTGACCCGGGCACAGCCCACGGCTCTGCCCACGGTCCCCTGAGCAGCACAGGGGGATCCTCAGGAGAAACAAAAGGAGCCGTCGCAGGCTCCAAACCAGAGCCAGACACAGGACGAGGGCTTTGAAGCGGGAATGAGCCCTGAGCATCGCGGGCTGGCCCCCTCCCGCCCACCCCGCCCCCGAAGAAGTGCTTGGGATGGGAGCTAGTCTCAGCTTCATCGTGAAGCTAGTCTCAGCGAGATTTTTCCTGGGTCACGTTTGTTTGAAGCATCTGAGCCCAGGCCAGCGTCAGTGCGGTTGGCTGTTGGCAATCGGGAGTTTTAAAGGTTCTAGAACTGCGCGGTGGTCCCAAGAGTCTAGGCCCAAGGTGCACCTCACCTCCGAGACTGGGCGCATTGTGGGCTGCACCCGGCCCCTGTCCAGGGATGTTGACCCCAGGGATGCTTTTGGGGTTTGCCGGTTTTCCGAAGATGCGTGGCCACCAGGGGGCACTGTGCAGCTGCCGGTCCTGCTGGAGAAGGGTGTGGGGTGGGCTGGGAGTTGGGGCCCCTCTGCAGCACCCCTGGGTGTGGGGCGTGGGGCTGCGGTTTCTCCGGGAGCGGAGCACGCTCTGGCCGGACCACGCCAGGGCTTTGAGGCTTCTATGCTTTTTTCCTGTGCTTTTATTGTTCTTTCGGGAAATCTTCTAGAAAGTGCTTTGCCCCCCCCCCCCCCCCCGGGACTCTGCACTCAGGGGTCAGTCGTGGGGTGCCGGGCTCCAGCCCAGGCTGGCTGGTATAAGGCAAGCGCCCTGCCCCAAATTTCCTGCTGTTGAGGACAGACTTGCAGCGAATAAAAAGCGTGTGTTGTTGCTGGAGCAGTAGCAGGAGGGCGGTTGCCTTGCGCGCAAACGGGTTCGATTCCCAGCATCCCACAGGGTCCCCCAAGCACCGCCAGGAGTAATTCTGAGTGCAAAGCCAGGAGGAACCCCTGAGCATTGCTGGGTTTGACCCAAAAAGAAAAAAAAAAGCGCGTGTTTGTTCATTATTTCCAGGGGCTGCCTGAGGTCTGGGGGGGGCAGAAGCACCCCGGGGGCCACGACTTCCCACAGTGGCTCTCCGTGTGCCCACGAGACCCCGCGGTTTTGGGATCCAGCGCAGACAGATCCCAGCTGCTGTTCCCCGGCCCTGACCCTCATCTGCTCTGCATTCCAGCAGCATTTTCTAGAATTCCAAAGCTCGGGGCGGCCTCTGCTTTGGCTTCTGCTGGGGCTGGAACCCGGGGCCCGCACAAGTGGCCTCGTCCCCCGCGCCCCTACCCGCCCTGCCGGCTCTGCTGTCACCCAGGCGCCTTTGGGAGGGTGCTGGGGCTCGGTGCTGGATCGGCCTGGGGCCTGCGCCCCGGAGTGCTGCCGGCCCCTCAGCCCCCTCGGGTGCCCTCGGGTCACTGCTGCGTGTGGCTGAGCACTGGGCATCGCTCTAGTGAGCCGTGAGGTACAGGGCCACTTCTGGTCGGGGGCTCGGGGGACAGTGCTCAGCTGGGGCTCTTCTGCATCTCGCTGCTCGGACTGTGATTCTTGCGTCTGTAAACATGTTTTCGATGCTCTTGGTTAAGTGCTCGGGTTTGCTATTGCCAGGGTTGTGCAGAAAGCGGACTCGAGCCGCAGGGGACGGCCGGCCCGTTCCCTGAGGGCGTCAGTGCTGGGGGGGGGGAACCCCCTTGCTCCCCTGGGAACGCTCTTGTGTCAGCTGCGGCCCTTTCCTCGGCGCCGTCCTAGAGCGAGTGGGTTCAGGCTTCTTCTTCTTGTTTGGGGGCCACTCCCCTGCCCCAGCCCCTCTCTGCCCCCCGCCCCCCCCCCGGACTCAGCATTCTTCTCGACTGCTTGTTTTTGTTTGGGCCACACATGGCGGTGCTCAGGGCTCCCTCCTGCCTCTGTTCAGGGGTCACTCCCGGCGGGGCTCGGGGGACCACACAGGGTCCTGGGGGTCCTGGGATGGAACCCAACTCGGCCCATGCAGGGCAAGTGCCCGGTCCACAGTCCTGTCACTCTGACCTCAAGAATCCCCTCTGTTTGTTGCCGTTTGTTTGGGGGCTACTCAGGGAGGCTCCGCGCTCAGGCCTCGCTCCGGGTGGGGCTCGGGGGCCCGAGGGGATGCTGGGATCGAACCTGGCCAGCCCCGCCTCACCCACTGTCCCATCCCTCCGGCCCCAGAAGTCCCAGTTCTCCAGTGGGTGTTTTTGAAATCTCTCATACAGTAGAGAAAATCACCCCCCCTTGGGGCCACACCTGACAGTGCTCAGGGCTGACTCCTGGCTCTGTGCTCAGGAATCACCTGTGGCAGGTGCGGGGGGTGGGAGCAGGGTGAGCCGCGGGCCGCAGCAGAGACTGATGGGGCGCTGTTCCCGTCCACCCTCCCCGTGCCGCGCAGGACCTGCAGCTGGACGATGACACGGTGCTGGACAGCGTGAAGTTGGCGGACGGCGAGCACCGCGGGACGCCCGACCTGTGCGCCGAGGAGCTGGCCGTGGTCCTGGGGGTCTGGTGAGCGCGGGGTCCTGGTGCTCTGCAGGGCGGGGAGGAGGCTGGGCCCCTCAGGGCTGCTCGTCCTCTTTGAAAACCTTTTTCTTTTCTTTTTTTCTTTTTTCTTTTTTTGGGGGGAGGGGGGTCACACCCGGCGATGCTCAGGGGTTACTCCTGGCCCTGCACTCAGGAATTACCCCTGGCGGTGCTCAGGGGACCATATGGGATGCCGGGGATCAAACCCGGGTCGGCCGCGTGCAAGGCAAACGCCCTCCCCGCCGTGCTATTGCTCCAGCCCCTGAAAAGCTTTTTCTGCTGTGTTTTGGGCCACCCCCGGCAGTGCTCAGGGCTGACTCCTGTTCTGTGCTCAGCAATCACGCCTGGTGGGCCTCAGGGGCCATATGGGATGCGGGGGTCGTCCCCGGGCCCTGTCGCTCCAGCCCCTCACTCTCTCTCAGTGGGAAGGCCCTCAGCTGTCTTCTTTGTTCAGTGATAAGTATTTAAAATAGGCGACATTGTTTTGTATGAGACTGGCAGCATCCCTTTAAAACTGCTGTAAGTCATAAAAATATAAACATGCAAAAAAAGAAAGTAGGCGACCGTGACTGTGTGGGAAGACCCGTCCGTGTCAAAGAGCAGCACTGTCCTTTAGTTCCCCGGGGGGCCCTAGTGTGGAGTGGAAATCCTGGCGGGTCCCTTCCCTCTAACCTTTCAGAATAATTTCTTTTTTTTTCTTTTTTTTTTTTTTTTTTGCTTCTTGGGTCACACCCGGCGACGCTCAGGGGTTACTCCTGGCTCATGCATTCAGGAATTACTCCTGACAGTGCTCGGGGGACCATATGAGATGCCGGGAATCGAACTCGGGTTTGCTGTGTGCAAGGCAAACGCCCTCCCCGCTGTGCTATCGCTCCAGCTCGTCAGAGTAATTTCAGAACTGGAGCCAAAGCTGCAAGTGCCGGGCGCTGTGAACACTCGTGTGTGCCTGCACTTGTGCACTGCACTTACATTTGGGGGGTTGGTTTGTGCTTTGGGGCCACACCCGGCTGTGTTCAGGGCTGACTCCTGGCTCGGGGACGATCGATGTGGGGTGCCAGGGATTGAACCCGCCTGACCGCGTGGGGGACAACGAGCGCCCTGCCTGCTCGGCTCTCTTTCCCGCCCCTGGTTGGGATTCTCTGTTTCCGGTGCCCCGCGTGGGTTTTCCAAGCCTGGAATCTGTGGTGACGGGCTTCTCCACGCCCCAACTTTTTAGCCCCCTCCGGGACCGCCCACCTCTGGCCACCTCGGGCCACGGTGCTCTGATCCCTGAACACTTGAGCCTGTTTCTGACGAAGAGATTGTATTTCAGTTTGGGAAGCTCACATACGTTGTAAATTGTACAATAATAGCAAAATGTGTGCCTTCAGATGTTTACGTGTCCTCTGTCATGTCGAAGATCGTTGTATTTTGTTCCTTAAAACCTGTAGTTTTGGGGCTGAAGGGATAGCACAGCGGGTAGGGCGTTTGCCTTGCACGCAGCCGGCCCAGGTTCGATTCCCAGCATCCCATATGGTCCCCTGAGCACTGCCTGAGTGTAGAGCCAGGAGTAACCCCTGTGCATCGCCAGGTGTGACCCAAAAAGCAAAAAAATAAAATAAAAAAAATTTTAAAAAAACCTGTAGTTTTGAATTGATGCGTGACTTTTTTTTGTTTTTTTTTTTTTTTTGTCTGTTAAAGCACAAATTTCCAGAAGAATAACCCGGTGCACAAGCTGACGGAGGAGGAGCTTCTGGCTTTCACGGCTGTGAGTCCTGCCTCTCCTTTCTGCTTCTGGCCTGTGCCCCTTTGCCTCGTGGGGGGGGGGGGGAGGACGTGGGGTCACAGGCCCTTTTTCCCCCTGGGGGCGGTGTGTGCTTCTCGCTTCAGGTTCAGACTCTTCGTTTTTGGTTGTTTGGGGTTGGGGTGCTGCAGCCAGCGCGGCTGGGCTCGGGGCTCACTCCTGGGGTGCTTGGGATGGGATTGGGGCAGTTCCTTCCCTCGGTCCTGTCTCTCCACTCTGAATTTTAACTTGGGGCCAGGAGTCAGCCCTGAGCACCGCCAGGTGTGGCCCAGAGGCAAACCGAAACCAAAACACACACACAAAAATAAAAAAACTGAAAAGAAGAGGATTGATAAGACTGCGCTTGGCGCTTGAAATATTCTAGAGCCCAGAGGGCCTCTGCGAGGAGCAGAGCCGGGTCTCGGCCGAGCCCAAGGAAGTGCTCATGGTACAGCAACTGGGGCGTGGGTCCGGGCCCCCGCCGTGCTCTGCTCAGGGATCCCGCCCTGCAGGGGCTGTTCCGTGCCAGGGGGTCCAAGCGGGCCCCCGCCCCCTCCCTGCCGCCGTCTGGCCACCGGGCCAAGATGTCCAAGTGAGCATTCAGCTCGGGGACGGTCCAGGTGCATCTGGACTGTTTTGTGTCTTGGCTGCTTCTCAGGTCAGAGCTGTCAGGTCCCCTTCCGCCGCTGCTGACCTGGTGGGCAGGGCCCATCCATGCTGCCCATCCGCCCTGCCCCACTCAGGGCTTGATCAGGGCTGCAGCCGCCGTCCTTAGAGGCCTGGGGGCGCCCTAGCTCATGGGGCTGGACATTGGTGTCAGGAGTTCAGGGCGCTGGGAGGGTGTAGTGACGTGCCCCACGCTGGTCACCAACCTGTCCCCTTGGCATGGGGGGCAGCGAGGAGCAGCACCCAGGGGTCACCCCTGGCCACAGAGCCCCCCGTGGGGCCCGGCATGGGGTTAGGCTGTGGCCAAGACCCTGCACAGAGGGGCAGAGGGAGGGCGTTGGCCTTGCCCGCGGCTGACCCACGTTTGGTCCCCGGCATCCCATATGGTCCCCTGAGCTCCGGGTGTGGGCTCAAGAACTAAAAGCTACTTAAAAAAAGATTTCTGCATAGGGCCAGAGAGAACGTCCCGGGCTGTGGTGCTTGTCTTGCAGACATTCATCCCTGCAGGCACATGATGCCCTGAGCACTGCGGGGAGCAGCCCCACGCCCTTGCTGTCCCCCAGGCAAGATTTCCTGCATAGGCCAGTGACAGTACAGGGGCCAAGGTGTCGCCTGGCTCAAGGGCGACCCTGATTCCACCCCCAGCTGGTGTGGCCCCAAACTTCCCTGCCTCCCCAAAAAACGATTTCCTGCATGATGCAAGAAGGGTGCTTGGCCCGGTTGCTCAGTTCCGACAGACATCCTAGTTCACTGCAGCTGTGGCGGGGTTGCTTGTTGGAGAGAGCGTCCAGCCATTTCCACGTTGAATGTGGCTTGCTTCGAGGAAAGGCCCTGACTAAGCCCTGTGGGGCAAAGCTAGTCCTGAAGGAGCACTTGGCACTTGGGAGGTTGTGGCCTCGGGCCGTTCCCGGGACGCCGGGCTGCCCGCTTCAGGGCACTGGGAGAGTCCGAGTCACACGGCGTCTGCGAGGCAGGCCCTGGGCGCCACCGAGTGCCGTCTAAAATTAGCCGTCTCCCCTGCGTCCCTTCCTCCCCGATGCGCCCGGCGTGGCACTCGGTTGTGCTGTCCATTTCCTCTCATTGTTGCGCGGTTCATTCAGGTGTCGGTTTCATTGGCGGAAGTTTCGCTGCTTTGTGAGTGATCCTGGCAGCCTGCCTGGGTCTGCCCGGAGCCCGGCCGAGGGGGGGAAGGAGAGAAGCCAGGCGGGACTGGGTGCGTTTCTCTTTCCTTGATCTTTTCCCAGGAAATTATTCCTGTAGTGCAGGTGACACGGTCACAAGCGCGTGTCAGCATATCAAGGCGCAGAATCAGCGCCCCAGCGCTGCCCGGGCGCCCGTAAACCTCCGCCAGTGTCTGTTCTCCTTCCTGTTCTTCCTCCTCTGTTGGGGACAACATCGGGTTGTCCTTGCTCCTCCCGCAGGGAGCTGAGGTGTATTGGGTTACTCCCACAACAGTGCCCCTGAGGCACACCCAGTTCCATCGGGCACTAATACTCCTACGTTGCTTTTCTCTTTCCGTTACGTCACTTGCACGGTTTAGCGATGTCCTTTTTGTGTACACAGGAAGACGGTCGATGCTAAGCTTGTGTAAATGGGAGTGTAATTGACTTGAAATAGTGGTTACTCCTGGGCATCCATCATATTTACCTGACTTAAGCCTCCGTTTTCCTGACTTCCTAATACTCCCAAAAGGAGAGTCCCGACCAAGGGACTGGATGGACCCAGGGCAAGCAGTAAGCTCCCCTGGCTTCGAAAGGAGAAGCTAAGCACCATAAGTACGTTAAGTTAAGGGGACTGGAGCAATAGCACAGCGGGGAGGGCGTTTGCCTTGCATGTGGCCAACCCAGGTTCGACTCCCAGCATCCCATATGGTCCCCAGAGCACCGCCAGGAGTGATTCCTGAGTGAAGAGCCAGGAGGGACCCCTGTGCATTGCTGGGTGTGACCCAAAAAGCCAAAAAAAAAAGTTAAGAGCATGGTCATGGAACGAAGTCTGTCATGATCCAAAAAGAAGGAACTGAATAAGGACCCTGCTGGGGTTAGGAAAGACTCACCTGCCTGATGACTGTGGTCCGGGACATCTAGCGAGTCGTTCCCAGGAAGAGCCAGCCTTTAAGCTCACTATATCTCTTACTGTGTCCATGCAAAATGACTAGAAATACTACGAGAAGTAAATTGACTGTGGTTGTTTAAATGGATTACCAGCCGAGGAAAGGAGAAGGCCACGCACCCTGGATGGAATCCCGCCCTTGAGCGGGTCTCCTCGTAATCTGGTGTGCTGAACGCTCGGATGAGGAGATCTTGTCCTTGAGTTCATCTAGAACTTCCCCAGAAGGAGGGGCTTTACCTCTGTTTGTTGTCATGACGATGTTCAGCCCACCCTTCTTGGTCTCTCTAAAACGGTGCCGTAAGGAGAAAGAGAAGAGAGTAGGACTACGACGAGGACGACGAGGACTGGAAAGACAGTGGAACTTTGATGAGGGGACTCTGATGGCTGGGACCATGACCAAAGGATGCGGCACCTGACACTTTCAGGTCACGGCGGCCAAGCATTTCGCCAGTGGCGCTCCCAAGCCCCAGCCACAGGCCGGTGAGACGGTTCAGCAGGCCGGTTAATCGCTCGCGTCTTGCAGGGTCCCCAGGCCACACCAGGAGTGATCCCTGAGCACTGCCCGGGGTGTGATCCAGACACTGTTAATTATTTAAAGCCAGAGAAAGTAAGGATGGTCATCTTGTGTGTCTCTCTCTCTCTCTGTCACACCCGATGATGCGCAGGGATTACTCCTGGCTCTGCACTCAGGAATCACCCCCAGTGGCTTGGGGGCCCATATGGGATGCTGGGGATTGAACTCAGGTTAGCACCGCGCAAGGCAAATGTGCTATCACACCAACCCCTCCTCTTTCTCTTTTTTTTTTTTATTCAAAGTAAAATTTAATTAAAATTTCTACTTGTGAACTTATAAGGGAGCAATCCTGCCTGTAGATTTATATTCTCTAGTGTTAAACGTGATAGCAAAATAACACAACCACCACCGCCAGGCTCAAAAGAACTTGATTATCCCCCGAAAGGGTAAGTCTGAGCATCAAGTCTCAGTCATTTGATGGAGTGCTAAATAGCATTTGAAAAGAATGACTCTTGGGCCTGGAGTATAGATAGCACAGCGGGTAGGGCGTTTGCCTTGCACACGACCGACCCGGGTTCGAATCCCAGCATCCCATATGGTCCCCTGAGCACCGCCAGGAGTAATTCTTGAGTGCAGAGCCAGGAATAACGCCTGAGCATTGCCGGGTGTGACCCAAAAAGGAGGGAGGGGTGGGGAAGAATGACTCAACTAAATTGGTTCTTTCATAGAGGAAGAGACGTGGTATTACAGTGACTTAGAACACATACGTGAGGTGAGAAAGCTACGTGCTGTGTTGGATACTTCAGCGAGCGGGAAAGGACGGAGAGTAAAAGCCTCTTTGCTCCCTAAAAACCTTCAGTTACTGTCAAGAGTAGGAAGTGCTGTTACCCTCGTGTGTTAGGGTCGTCCTCAGTCAGACGCGAGGGCGTGCAGCCACCCGGAATCGTCTCTCCCCTTGTCTCGGCTCCGTCTTCGGCCCGCGCCTTTGTGGCTGCCACAGCCCGGCCACCAGCCTCTCAGACCGCCTCTCCCGCTGCGGCCGGCCCATCGGGGGGACATGCGTGTGTCCTGTGGAGCGGCCAGGCCTGGCCCTCGGTCCCGGCACGTTTCTCTTGCCACGTTCTGGGGCCTTGGGCCCTGGCCAGGCAGAGCCTTTGGCGTCGTTAGGGTTTGTGGCGTTTTCTGGTTTGTGTGGTGTTGGTTTCTGGGACTCACCCGGCAGTGCTCAGGGGTTGCTCCTGACCCTGTGTTCCGGGGTCACCCCCCGAGAGTGTGGGGGACCATGGAGCGTTGACCCTGCATTGGCAGCGTGCAAGGTGGGCGCCCTCCCTGCCGTCCCGTGCTCGGGGGGTGTTTGCAGTCCTGACGGTCTCCCACCTCGGGGCTTCCGGGTACCTGTGGTGCTTTGGTGAATCCCGGTCGCGCCCCGCTGCGGGGGCCCGGAGCTCACCCCCTTCTCTCTCGGCCTCCCCTGCAGTGTTTGCTCTCGCAGCCCAAGTTCTGGGCCGTGCACACGGCAGCCCTCATCCTGCGGACGAAGCTGGAGCGTGGCAGCTCACGGCGCATGGAACGGGCGCTGCGGCAGACGCAGGTGGGTGCCCCGGGCAGCGGGCGGGCAGGTGAGTGCCCCTGGCAGGCGGGCGGGCGGGCGGGAGCCCCGGGCAGCAGGCAGGAGGGAGCCCTGGGCGGGTCGGGTGCTGGACGTGTCTGTGTCCATGCTCCTGAGAGCATTTTCGAGTATTTCTAAGAATAACTTAAGGAAAAAAGAAAGACCCACAGCTCTTCTTCATAGATTGATTTCGTGGTCTTGTGATTTATTTACTCGTTGTCTCTCCTGTGTTTGTTGTGTCCGGGGTCGCACCGCGTGGTGCTCGGGGGCTACTCCGGGCCTACGGTGGTGTTGGTGTGTGCCGGCGACCAGAACCGGGCCCTGGGCTTGGTCTCCCCGCCGGGACATCAGTATCACGCTGACAACAGCAGAGAGTCATGTTCGGCCGCTGGAGCGATAGTACCTCGGGGGGGGGGGGGGGGCACGCTTGCCTGCACGTGGCTGACTCTCAGCTTCGACCCCTGACAACCCCTGTGGTCCCCTGAGCACAGAGCCAGGAGTAAGCCCTGCGCACCAGCAGGTGTGGCCCCGAAACAAAACTGTGTGTCTGTGCAAAAGTCATGACGCCGATCCGTTCTGACGTTTGCACCAAGGCTCTGGCGGACCAGTTTGAAGATGTGACGACGTCCGTCCTGGAGCGCCTCAAGGTCTTCCACTGCTGCCGTGTCCCGCCGCACTGGGCCGTGCAGGTACTTCTGCTGGTGTCGCCGGGCCGGGGAGGGCGCTGCCTCGCGAGGGTCAGCTGGCTGGGGTCCTCGGCGCCCGTGTGGGTCTGCCGAGCACTGCCTGGGGTGAGCCCTGAGCACGGCCGGGTGGGGGCAGAGTCACGCAAGGGAGCAGCTCATCGGGAAGAAGTGACTAAGCGAAACGCTTTGACACCTGTCGGGTCCCGCCCCGTGAAGCATCAGTGCTCTGGGCCCTGTGGTTTGTGGTGGGTGAACACCGCAGACTCGGGGCCGCCGTTGTAGACAGAACGTGTGTCTGGTGGGCGTCGCTTCGATCTGTTCCGAACAGAAGCATTGCGAGAACAGCAAACTGTTCGCGTGCAATTTAGACCAAATGTTTCCTTGGTCTGCCCACGGCGCTGGGGATTTACCCATCTTTCGGTGGTCAGATAAATACTCATTTTCATGAGGATGGAATTGTGGGGGGCCCGGAGCAGTAGCACAGCACAGCGGGTAGGGCGTTTGCCTCGCAAGCAGCCGACCTGAGTTCGATTCCCGGGATCCCGTATGCCCCCCAAGCACTGCCAGGAGTAATTCCTGAGTGCAGATCCTGAGTGCAGAGCCAGGGGTAACCCCTGAGCCTCATCAAGTGTGACCCCCCCCCCAAAAAAAAAGAAAGATAGATAGAATTATGGTTGGGTAGTGGCACGGAGCACCGGAGCATAGGCTCAGCCTGCGAGAGCCCCAGGTTTGATCCCTGGCACCAGCAGCAGTGACCCCTGAGCACCAAGCCAGACACAGTTCCTTGCATCGGCCCCCAGAATAAGTCAATCAGGAGATAGGTACCTGAGACGGAGAGAGAGGAGGCCGGCTGCTTCTTGGAGAGAGGGAGAGGAGAGAGGGGTGCTGACTGCGTCCTGTCGCTGAGATCTGGAGGCTCACCCGTCTTCCCACCCACAGTGCCCCCGGGTGAGGGCCGTTGCCAGCCCCGCCCCCCTCCCCCGGCGTTAACAGAGGCTGTGCCAGTGCTCAGCTCAACAGCCACAGAGGGTCCTAATAGAATCTCGCTGAGGCCGGAAACAGACTTTTCCAGTCGTTCTGTGTTTTTTGCTGGTGTGTTTAGTTTGGGGGCCACACCCAGCTGTGCTCAGGGGTCAGCCCTGGGCCGGGATTGGGGGCTCCAGCGTGGCTGGGCTGTGTGCAGGCTGAGCCCTTCCAGCTCCTGCATGTCCCTCTGGTCTTCTTCGGGGAAGGTGTTGGTTTGCCTGTTGAGATTTCTGAGCGGTTCTTAGGTAACCGCACCCGTCCTAAAGAAGCCTGAACCGCCCCGCGCTCCTGGTCAGCTCGGGGGACGCGCCGGGAGGCGGGAGGGGTCCGTCCCCGGGTCGGGCCCTGCCCAGCAGGACGTGTTCACCGTCTGCAGCGCCTGCTGGCGGGTCTGCTCGTGGAGCTGGGATGCACAAGCTCGGCGCTGCAGATCTTCAAGAAGCTGGAGATGTGGGAAGACGTCGTCATCTGCTACGAGAGATCCGGGCAGCACGGGAAGGTATGGGGGGCCCGGGCGCACGGGAAGGGGCGGGGCGGGGGCGGGGGCGGGGGGCTGCATCTGGGCCGTGCTCGGAGCTTCTCAACTCGCGTCTTTTCCAGCCCACGTTCGGCCCATTCACGCTCCCACGTTCACGGCCCAGGAACCTTCTTGAATGTATTTTTAACTGCCGCTTCCTGCTGGGCCTTCTGCAGGTGTGGGGGGGGGGGGGTGTCTGTCCGTCTAGGAGAGAGGCCGGGCCCGACTCCGCCTCCGGCCACGCTCCGGCCCCGGGAACCGTCTCTTCTGCGGGGGCGAGGGGGCATTTTGGTCGCTTTGCTTCCCTGGCTTCCTGGAGCACGAGCACAGAGTGAACTCTCAGAAGGGGGGTCCTTGGAGCCACAGCTCAGCGGGGAGGGCGCTCGCCTCGCACACGGCCGACCCGGGTTCGACCGAGGCAGCACGCAGGGAGCCCCGCCCCACCGGGAGGGACCCTGAGCGCAGAGCCAGAGGGCGGCATGGCTCAGCCACCGCCTCCCGGGCACTCAGCTGGCGGGAGGTCCTTCGGAAGAGCCACGGCCTGGGACCGAGTGCGGTGGGTGAGCACCCAGCCCGCCCTCCCCACCGTGCTCTAGGGGTGGTGCACTGGCCTGTTTCTCAGCTGTTGGCTTGCCCTCGTGAATGAAGGGAATTTGGGGTTTTGTTTAACTCTGGTTTCTGGGTAAACCAGGTGCTGTTCAAGGATCACTCCCAGCTCTGTTCAGGGCTGACTCCCAGCTCTGTGCTCAGGGCTGACTCCCGGCTCTGTGCTCACTCCTGGCTCTGTGCTCAGGGCTGACTCCCAGCTCCGTGCTCGGGGATCACTTCTGGCGGTGCTTGGGGGACCAAACTCAGGCTGGCCCCATACAAGGCAAACGCCCTCCCACCCGGTGACCCTCCGCCCTCAGGGGTGTTTAGCAACGGCCAGGGGAGCGCAGAACCGGTACAGCCCTCCTCACGGGCCTGGTTCTTCTCACAGGTCAGGAACTAAATCGAAAAGGTACACTCAACTGTGGCCCGTTTCCAGCATTGACCAAAGCGTCGTGATTGCTAGAATAGCAGTTGGGGGAGTGGCGGGTCCCTGCAGCCTGATCTGCTAGACGGAGCCCCTGTCGCTCCCTGTGGGGCATCGGGAGGGTGCTGGGACTGAGTGAGTGTGGGTGTCGGAGGGGCTGTGGGTGGGTGAGGGTTGGAGGGGTCTGAGTGACCGGCGCAGGAGGAAGGGTGTCGTGGGGCTGCCGTCCCTTTAGAGCCTGGCGTGACTCTGGCCCGAGTGACGTTGCTGTTCGCTGATTGGGGTCTTGCTGGGGACGGGGTTGGGCCCGGCTGGGCTGGCTCCTGGCGCTCGAACCCTGTTCTCCCCGTGCCACCCTGAGCTTGCTCTTGGCCGTCTTAGGGATTCTTTTGAATTTGCAGGGGACCTTTAAGAAAGACCGCAGGCCACCCCCCAAGCGACGTGCGTCTGTTCCTTGCAGGGACAGTCCCCGCCTCGCCTAGATCTGCTGTGGGTCGAACGTCCCTGAAACTTGGATTGTGGTCATTGCATTTCTCTTGGGTTGGTTGGTTTGGGGCACCCCCCGCTGTGCTCAGGTAACCAGACCGGGGGCCGGGCTCAAACCCAGGTGCAGGTCGGGCCCCTACCTGCTGGGCTGTCACTCCGGCCCCTCAAGTCTCGATTTTAAAGGTTGAATCGAGCATTTTGTCTGTCCCGGAAACACCTTCCCGGCTCTGTTGCTTTTTCCAGTGCCGCCTTTGCGGGTTTGACTGTAGACCTCGAAGGCTCGCTTCACGTTGGAAGCAAATGTTTTATTTCGAGAGCAGCCGAGATTCTTTCTGTCCGTGTTTGGCCCCGGGCCAGTGGCTGTCACCGTGCTGTGATTTCACTATGAGTTTGTGAACCTTTAATCCTTGCCTTCAGTGTTTAGTGGTGTGATTCATTTTTAAAAGGCAACTTGGGAAAAGTATCGAATTCTCATGCCTGTGTTGTGGGGCTCATGCATGCACCCCCCTGTCGTGGGGGCCTCGGACGTTCTGGCTGAGGGGCTCCCCGTGAAGTGCTCGAAAGGGAGCGAGTACCTGCCTGATGGTGTCGGGTCGGGTCTGCGTGGCCAGGGGCCAGCACGCACTCGCCTCCGTTAGCTTTCAGTTGCTTACGACTGTCTGGCGCGCTCTAGCAGCTTCTGCAAACCTCCGGACAGAGCTTGACTCTGGGGAGTAGATTTGGTCCTTAAGTGCAAGCCCCAGCCTTGAGCCGGCAGGGCTGGGGATGGGCGAGGGGTGTTTCCGACGGCCTTTCTCTGGCTTCCCGACTCCTCGAGGCCTCTGTGGGCCCTCGTGGCCCAGCTGCACAGAATTCTCTCTAAGTTACAAGTGTTTTATTTCTTTTATTGGTGGGGGAGGGGCGCGGCCACACCTGGCGATGCTCAGGGCTTCCTCCTGGCCCTGCACGCAGGGATCACTCCTGGCGGGGCTGGGGGGACCGTATGGGATGCCGGGGATCGAACCCCGATCAGCAGTGTGCAAGGCAGGCGCCCTCCCCACTGTGCCATCTCTCTGGCCCCTTTAACTGTTTGCTTGTTCGGTGTGTGTGGGGGGTGGGGGGGGTGGGAGGGGAGTAAGGGGGGACCCCCGGCAGTGCGGAGGGAACCCGGCAGCGAGTGAAGTATGTGCGCCGGGTCTGCTCTTTATCATTGTGCTCCTGTGACTGTGCTTACACGATGCTCTTTAAGTGCTCTGTGGTCGCCGTAACGTGGACCAGGACCCCAGAGTCTCCTTGGCTCTGCCCCTGACGGGTGAAGGGGAGGATTCTGGTGACCGAGTTTAGACTCACCGGGCTGCATCTGAGCCCCTGTCCCCTCACCCACCCCAGACAGCCCGGGATAGCACCCGACCCTTCCGAGTGTGACGCTCCCACGCTCCGTGTGGGACGGGCCGGGTAGGGGATGGTCACAGCGGGTGCCCTGACCCAGGGGTGCCCACAGCGGGAGCCCTGGGGGTGGTCACAGCGAATACAGAGCAGTGAGTGGACGCCTGACCCCGGGAGTGGGGACTGGGACCAGGAGCTCCCTTGGAAGGAGTCTGGGGGGGCCCCTCTGCCCCCCACCACTGTCGCTCCTCTCTGCCGTCCACCTTCCTCGGCCCAGCGTGGCAGAGTCCTGGGCCAACTTCACCCCTTCCAGTGCTGCCTCTGCAGGGACGCGGGAACGGGCCTGGCGCTGATGCAGAGTCCAGCCCAGCACCCCGACCCCCTGCCGCCCACGGCCCTTCCCCCATCCCTGCAGGTGAAGGCAGGGGTTCTGCTGGCTGACAGCCTGCCCCGAGGCAGCCCCGTGACTCCGACCAGGTGGCCCCAGGTGGCCCCGGGAGGCCAGGCCTGATCCCACCCATGCAGGAAAGTCTGGGTTTCGCCAAGCACAGCCGCGCCTACGGCCTGCAGTGAAGGGCCGTTCTGAGCCGGCCGCCCTTGGAGCACAGCGCGGGGGGCTAGGGCTGGAGGAACGAGGCCCAGTGCTCCCTTGCGCTGACCGGCTGGGACCCCCTCCCTCGGGCCCTCCCCACCAGCCTCGAGCTCTTGGGGTTAGCCAGTGGGGTGCGCCCAGATGCATGGGGTGCCAGTGCGTGCGTGCGTGTGTGTGTGAGTATGTAAGTGTGTGTGTGCGTGTGTGTAGGGGGAGTGGGGGAGGGAGTTCTTGGGGCTGGCAGGATTCTTGCCAGTGCCCCATGTTCGTGGTGGCCACGCGCCGCTTAGGTGTGCCCCTCGGGCTGGAAACGTGGTTAGTGGCGTTTGTTTGGGGCCGCACCCGGCAGTGCTCCGGGTTTCTCCTGGCTCTGTGGGCTCAGGGGACCATACGGGCTGCCGGGACTGGCTCGGGTGGGCCGCGTGCTGGGAGGTACCCTCCCCTCGCCGTACGTCTCTCTGGCTCTGGCCTGTGGCCTCTTGTCCTGGCTGCTGGAACGGGCCACAAGTTCGACCTGGTCCCTGGTGCCCGGGCAGCTTCTGGCCCTGCAGGGAGGAGCCACACAGACCCCGGGGTGAGGGGCCCGCAGTGCAGCTGGAGGTGCGCCCACCTCCAGCGGGTCGGTCGCTCTGGGACAGGACGGAAGGAGAGCCCCGGCCGGAGTCGCTAAGCTAGCGGCCGCCTCCTGCTGAGCGGGGACCCGCGCTTCCCACGCCAGGCCTGGCTGTGAAATGCTCGCACGCCCGGAGGCATTGGTCGCCCAGAGGGTGAATCCCTGGGAGAGGTGCTCGCTGGCCAGTGCTCTCTGGCCAGGCCGCTAGAGGGGTGCAGGGCAGGGCTCGGGGTCCATCTGGGGTGCTGGGGGTCAAACCCGGACGGCTGCGTGCAAGACAGGCGCCCTCCCTGCTGGACTCGCTTCAGCCCGCAAGAATTCTTTGACTTGCTTTCTCTTTCATTTTTCCACTGCGCGAACATTGGTTCATAAGAATGTAAACTGTTGGGGCTGGAGCGATAGCACAGCGGGGAGGGCGTTTGCCTTGCACACGGCCGACCCGGGTTCGATCCCTGGCATTCCAGACGATCCCCCAAGCACTGCCAGGAGTAATTCCTGAGTGCAGAGCCAGAAGGAACCCCTGAGCATCACTGGGTGTGACCCAAAAACCGAAAAAATAAAAAACAAAAAAACGTAAACTTCTCTTGCCTGGGATTTGGGGGCCACACCCGGCGGTGCTCAGGCCTTACTGTGGTCTGACGACGTTGGGGCATCCCTGGGGTGTCAGGAATGATGACAGGGCAGGTCACGGGCAGGGCAAGCCCCCTAAGCGCTGAGCCCCGGCCCCAGGCTGTGGTCAGAATGTTCCTCTCCCTGCCCCTCCCCAGCTTCTGTCGGGGGTGGCGCATCCCTTGCTTGGGATGCGTGAGGTCACCTCGCTCCTCTTGGCTCCCTCATTCGCCTCCAGTCCCACCCGTCTTCGCAGCAGAAGGCGAGATGTCGTCTCCCCTCGGAGCTCTGAGTCATGAACCGTTGTGTGCCTGCCCCCACGCACACGGCCCCTGGCAGGCTCGGGGGCCGTAAGGGGGGCCGAGGGTCAAACCCAGGCCCGCCACGGCCAAGGCCAGCGCCCTGCCTGCTGTGCTGTGGCTCCGGCCCGGGCGTTTTACCTGTTCTGTTCATCGTTTAATGAAAAATCACTGGACGTGAAAAGGAATGGGGAGACGGGCCGTTAGGAACCGTGGTCTAGTGAAGCTGCCCCTCCTAGATGCAAGCGAAATAAAGACATTTTCAGGCGAATGAAAGGAGGGAGAATTCGTTTCCATTCGAGCTACACCATGAGATCATCTCTGCGAGAATCCTGCGGGGGGCTGGAGACACAGGACGGCGGGGAGGGCGCTCGCCTCGCCTCGGGTGTGGCCGGCCGGGGCTTCAATCCCCGGCCTCCCGTTTGGTCCCCGAGCCCCACCAGGAGTGCGCCCTGAGCACCGAGCCAGGAGTAAGCCCAGAGCACTGCCGGGTGTGGCCCCAGAACCAAACCCAAAGACTGTGTCCCACTCTGCCTCAGGGACGGTCTTGGCGTGTCTCTGTCAGCGTACGTCCTCCTGCCGTGTGACTGGTGTGCGTGCCGGGCCCCCAGCTCTCTGCCCCACTTTGCCTGGCCGCTCTCCTCTCCCGCCCGGGTGACCTGTGGGGAGTTCCGCACGGGGAGTTCTGCGGACTTCCTCGGTCTCCCTGTGCTCTGCATGTCCTCGGGAGTCTGTCCCCAGCCGCGCGGCTCCTGGGCAGTGCCCCTGGAGCTTTTGTACAGAGGAGAATCCACTGAGTGGACGTCACTCCACCCCTTGCCCCGTTGTTAGTCAATGGCCAAACGGGCCAGTTCCACTTTTTTTTGGGGGGAGGGGCGCAGGGGCATACCGACTGATGCTTAGTATTTCCACTTGAGTTTTAATTTTATTAGCTTTTGAACACTGATTAACTTTCTTTTTTTTTGATTATTTTTTTTTTAGATTTTTATTAATGAAACACCATGAGGTACATTTGTAGACTTACAAATTTTTGTGCTTGGGTTTCAGTTATACAATGATCGAGTACCCATCCATCCTTCCACCAGTGCCCATTTCCCACCACCACGGATCCCAGTATCCCTCCCACCCCCGTCCCCCCATCCCCCCCTGCCTCTGTGGCAGGGCATTCCCTTCTGTTCTCTCTCTCCTTTTGGGTGCTGTGGTTTGCAAAGGAGGCATTGGGTGACAATCATGTTTGGTCCACAGTCCACTCTCAGCACACATCTCCTATCCTGGGAAGATCCTCCCATCCTCCCAACACCCTTTACTTGGTGCTCCCCTCTCTATCTGAGCTGCCTTCTCCCTCAGCATGTGCGGCTGGCCTCCAAGCCATGGAGTGAACCTCCTGGTACTTATCTCGGCTATTCTTGGTTAACTTTCTGTCTTGAGTTCACGCCTGGCAGTGCTCAGGGACTGTTCCTGGCTCTGACCCCTGTGGTGCCAGAGATCGAGCCAGGGTAAGCAGATGCAAGGCCAGCACCCTAACCACTGGGCCATCTCTCCGGCCCCCAGACAGATCCTCTTGGGAAACAAAGGGAACACTGACCTGTCCCTGCCTTCTGTGTCCTCCGTGGGCTCCTCTTACTCGGCCCCCGGCCCACGTCTCCTCCCAGGCTTCGCAAACCAAACTCGGGGTGGCCTGGCACACAGGCCGTGCCGGGCTCCACCGACAGCAAGACGCCCCCACTGAGGCCGCTGGGGTTTTCTGTCCTTCCTGCAGGCCGAGGAGATCCTGAGGCAGGAGCTGGCCAAGAAGGAGACGCCCAGCCTGTACTGCCTGCTGGGCGACGTGCTGGGGGACCAGAGCTGCTACGACCGGGCCTGGGAGCTCTCGGGCCACCGCAGTGCCCGCGCCCAGCGCTGCAAGGGCCTCCTACACCTGCGCCACCGCCAGTTCCGCGACTGCGCCGCCTGCTTCGAGCGCTCCGTGCAGATCAACCCCATGCAGGTCAGCGCCCCGGCCCGCCCTCTGCCCCCGGAAGGTTCCAGGGAAGGGAGGCGAGAGAGAGGGGCCGGGGGAAGGGAGTCTGCAGAGCCCCCGAGGGGACCCCGGGAGCTCGGAGGAGCAGGTCTGTAACTTGGTCGGGTCTAAATTCCGTGAAACTCGCACAGAAGTAGAAGCAGAAAGTACTTTCCTGGTCAGCTTCGTCTTGTTACGGATTTTGGCTGAGGGCTGGAGCGATAGCACACGGCCAACCCGGGTTCGATTCCCAGCACCCCACAGGGTCCCCCGAGCACTTCCAGGAGTGATTCCTGAGTGCAGGGCCAGGAGGTAACCCCTGAGCATCGCTGGGTGTAGCCCAAAAAGCATTTAAAAAAAAAAAAAAAAGAATATTGGCTGATGGGGCCAGCGAGATGCCACCGGGTGGACGTGCTTGCGGGGCACGTGGCCAGCCTGGTTCGCATCCCCGATCCCACGTATGGTTTCCTGACCCACTGGGTGTGGCCCCTCAGCCAGCCAAGCCGAGAAAGGGCTTTGGGCTGGGGACGTGGGCAGCGCGTGCCTTGGCTGGGTCAGCCGGGCCGGCACCGCGTCCACACACACCCCGTCCCCAGAGCCTCAGCTGGGCCAGCAGAGACCCTGAGCCCCAGGACCACTGGGAGCGGCCCCTTCTCTAAAGAGACCCTGCAGAGTCAAGCTCTGATGGAAGAAAGCCCTGTGAGCGGAGCGGAGGGTCGGTGCCCGCAGAAGGGCGTTTCCAGCAGCGGGGTTGGGCCTCGCCTCCCAGGCTGTCGAGCCACCGGGCAAGTCAGTTTCCGGGGCTGGTGGATGAGGATTCGTCACAGGTCCTTGGACCCCCAGGGTGGCTCGTGCCAGCACTGTCCTCTGTGAACTGTATGTGTATGTGTGTGTGTGTGTGCGTATGTGTTCAGAATTGCAGCAGCTGAAAATACCGCTGCCAGATTTGATGTGAACAATGAGTGACAGCTTTGAAATAGACAGCAGGTCACTGGGTCACGGTCACGGTCCTCCCATTGTTCATCGATTTGCTCGAGCGGGCCCAGTAACGTCTCCATTGTGAGACTTGTTGTGGCTGTGTTTGGCATATCGAATACGTCACGGGGAGCTTGCCAGGCTCTGCCTTGCGGGCGAGATCCTCTCGGTAGCTTGCCGGGCTCTCCGAGAGGGGCAGAGGAATCGGACCCGGGTCAGCCTGGTCAGCCACAAACAAGGCACGCGCCCTACCCGCTGTGCTATCGCTCCAGCCAGCAGGTCATTTTGTGATTTTGAGTTTTTAAATTATGTATTAAAAAAACTGAAAGTACTTTAGTCCTCCCAAACCAGTAACGTGAGTAGGGAAACGTCACTGAGCGAAGCCAGCTATGGAGATGGTCAGAGGACGCGGGTGTCTGCTAAAAAAATTCCCTTTCCCGTTTGCGCCCTGGACCACAGCGGCTGTCTTTGGTCAGTTTCCTTGTGACGTTCGCCGGGAGCTTCTGCATCGTGGGTGGCTGGGTCGCCTGTGGTGCCCCGTGGCGCCCTGCGTGCGAGTGACGCCTCCTTTGGCCTTTGCAGCTGGGGGTGTGGTTCTCGCTCGGCTGCGCCTACCTGGCCCTGGAGGACTACGCGGGCTCGGCGCGAGCCTTCCAGCGCTGCGTGACGCTCGAGCCTGACGTGAGTATTGCTCTCTGCCGCGGCCCCCGATGCTCCCGCTGCTCCGGGCTGCCGCTGTCGTGGTGGAGGGTGGCGGACGGGGGCTCCCACGGGCGTCCACGGGCTGCGGTTCTCAGCACGGGGAAAGGGAGACCAGAAGATAGTCCTTGTGTCTGTCACAGCATTCAGTGCCCGCCCCCCACCCCGCCCCCCCTGCCCTTCTCTCCACCCTGGTCCCCGATTCCCAGGCCTAGAGCGGAGGGTCCAGCTCGGCGGCCAGACCCCTGTCAGCGGGCACCTGCCTCCATCCTCCCAACCCTGACCACAGCCTCAGCCAGGGTCACCCCGGCATCCCCCGGTTTGATTCCCGGCCCGGTGTGGCCTCACAGTCCCAGCCGGACACTCCAGGCTGCCCAGGGACCCCCTTGGGAGCCCCAACTCCCACACCCCCAGCTAGAACCCATGCCATGTTGAGAACGGTGATTTGGGGGGGAGCGGTGGCTGGGTTTGGGGGCCACACCAGGCAGTACTCGGGGGCCCGCGGGAGGCGGTGTGGAGCTCTGTGGAAGGCTCGTACCTTACCCAGTGGGCTGTCTCTCCTGCCCCACCATGGTGATGATTTTATTGATATATTCTTGCTCTGGGGGCCACACCCGGCAGTGCTCAGAGGCTTGTGCCTGGCTCTGGGCGCAGAGTCATTCCTGGCGGTCTTGGGGGACCATAGAGGATGCAGGGAATTGAACCCCGGTCAGCCCCGTGCACGGCAAATGCCTACCCATTGTCCTATTGCTCCGGCCCTTATTTTAGTTATAATATTTATGTATTGGGGGTGGGGGGCAACACAGCTGACAATCAGGGCTTACTCCTGACTCTGTGCTCAAGGATCACTTCTGGCTAGGCCCAGTGGATCACATGTGGTGCTGGGCATCAAACTTGGGTCAGCTGCACGCAAGGCAAGTGCCCACCCCACTGTGTTATCACTCCAGCCGCCTGGCTGTGATTTTAAACTTGTAGATCAATTTGGGAAGTATTTTTGATACCATCTTAATAATACTCATTTTTTTTACAACAGTTACAAAGCTTTTAGGTTTAAGTCATACAATGTATCATACAATGTATCATACAATGTATCATACAATGATCAAACACCTCTCCCTTCACCGGTGCATATTTTCCACCACCAAGACCCCCAATATATCCCCCCATGCCACCCCACCCCGGGCCTGTGAGGCAGATGATTTCCACTTAACTCTGTACTTTGATTACATTCATTAGTTCAACAAAAGATGCACCGTCATTATTTGGAATTTCCCCCCAACAATCAAACCTGCTGAAAAGGCATCATGAAATGATCTGTTTTCTATTGCTGGTTACGAAGACCACGAAGTCTGGAGGGACTTCTGCCCAAAGCCAAATAGTTCCGAGAGTGGTTCGTGTGCCTCTGAGGCCATGGCCGTGCTGGAGAGCCACGCGTGGGGGGGGTCAACTCGTGGTCTCGGCAGGGCAAGAAGGACGTGTCGGTTCTGCCCCCATCCCATGAGGCCGTAGTCGCCCCATCACCCCCGGCTCATACCCGGCTGTCCAATAAGCTCTGAGGCAGCGGCTACCATGCCCGGGGGGCGGTGTGTGTGGGGGGAGGTGGGGGCAGACACCCTTTCCCTCTAGGTGGGGGGGACACAGCAACGTGGCTTACTGCATAGTCCATTCACATTTCTGCCAGAGGCTGCTGGGTTCCGAATTAGGTCCTTGTGCCTCTGGGGCCATGGCTGTACCGGAGAGCCACTCGTGGGAGGCAGCTTATGGTCTCAGCAGGGCAAGAAGCGATATTGAACCTTCTAATCCATGAATGTGGGATGTTTTTCCGTTTATTTCCGTCTTCTTTCCACAGTCATTTGTAATTTCCAGAGTATAGATTTCATACATTTTATGTGTTTGTTTGGGGCCACACCCAGCAGTGCTCACGGCTCACCCTTGGCGGGGCTTGGGGGCCAAACGGTGATCCCACCTGGGTTGTCCAGTCAACGCCCTGCCTACCGTGCTGTCACTCTGGCCCCGAGATTCCGCCCTTGTTGAGTTATTCTGCGTCATTCGCTCTTGGGGCTCTTATCAAGGAATCGGATTCTTAGTGTTACTTCCAGAATGTTCTTTCCTACTGTGTAGAGCCCAGCTCATCCCTTGAGCGTCCGTCTGGTGTCCTGCAGCCCTGGACTCTTCAGTCCTAGCAGTTGTTTCATTAGTTCATGAGGGTCCTCCGGACGGAAGGCCGTGCCTCTTGCTGTGGGGGCAGCCTTGTCCCCTCCCTCTGGGGCGCTTTTCTTTTTCCTGTCCTTTGGGGTCAGGGCTGAGTAGAAGGAGCAGAGGCGGGGCCTTCCCTCCTCTCTGACCTACGGGACGGCTTTGGTTTTCTGTCTTTTACCAGGAGGCTGCCTTAAGCCTGGCTCTCTGCAGGTGCCCTTATCGGGCTGAGGACCTTCCCGTCCACTCCTGGTTTGTTGAGTAATTTTGTAATGGAAAGGTATTGGGGGGCCAGAGCGATAGCACAGCAGGGAGGGCGTTTGCCTTGCACGTGGCCAACCCGGGTTCGATCCCCAGTATCCCGTATGGTCCCCTGAGCACCACCAGGAGTAATTCCTGAGTGCAGAGCCAGGAGGAACCCCTGAGCATCGCTGGGTGTGACCCAAAAAAACAAAACAAAAAGTGGAATTTGCCAAACACTTTTTCTGCGTCTCTTGAGATGATTGTGTGGTTTCTTCCATCCTTGATTCTGTTATTTCAGTAAATTACTTGCTTGTTGGCTCAACCTTGCATTCCTGGGGTAAATTCCACTTGGCCCGGCTTTTACTCATTTTCAAATTTTGTTTGTTTGTTTGGGGGCCACGCCCAGCAATGCTCAGGGCTGCCTCCTGGCTCTGTGGTCAGGGGACCGTATAGGATGCCGGGGATTAAACCCAGGTAGGCTGCGTACGAGGCAGGCTCCCTCCCCGCTGTACTGTCTCTTCAGCCCCTGCTAATACTTGGTCTTCTCGTTTTGGTTTTGGGGTCCACACTTAATTTTCCTGGCTCTGTGCTCAGAATTGACCTCTGACAATGCTGGGAACTGAACCAGAGTTGACCAATTTCAAAGCAAAATCTCTTATCTCTTCCACCATCTCTCCAGCCCAGCTAGTGTTTTCTGAAGAATTTTTCCATCTAAATTCTTCAGAGACGCTGGTCTCTCTCTCTATATATATATGTATTTTTTACGATGTCTTTCTTTGGGCTTGGTTTCAGGGTAATAGTTGTCTCGTGGAATAAATTAGGAGCTGTTCCTTCTTATGTTTTTTTTTTTTTTTTACAAGAGATTATAAAGGAATTTTCCGTTTTGTGAAATGTATCAGTGAAGTCTGCTGGTTCTGGGGCTTTCTCCGTGGGGAGGTTTGGACGTCACTAAATCCATGAACCTCTTCAGATGCTCTTTGGGGTGGGATGGGGGGGCACCTGGTACTGCCCTTCTCTGCACAGGACTGGGTGCCCCCAGGGTGGGGCCCAGGGCACTGGGGCTCTCACCGCAGAGCTTGTCTCCCGCCCTTAGGACACCCCCTGGGGACAGCCCACCCCAACTTTCATTCCTTAAATGCAGTGAATGGAAACGACGGTGAATGGACACGCATCTCGAGGATGGCTGGATCCCGCGTGATGCGTGCCGTGTCCGCGTGTTGAGCAGGCATCGGGGAGCCTGTGTCCCCTCCCCCGCACCGTGGCCACACTCCTCCTGTGCCCCGCCGGCGTGGCCTTTGCCTCGGGGTCCCTGGTGCCCTGACTTTGCCTGCGCACTATTCCCGTGTGTCTGGTGCCACCGATTGTGAACTGTGTCTTTGGTTGTGTGCCCGGATGATAGCGTGGGGTGTCCCTCGCCCGGCTGTCATTTCTGCTGTGGGGCTACCGTCTGGGACATTCTCGGGGCCCGTTCCTGGCCCTGTGCTGGGGGACACACGTGGCGCTCGTCCGCAGAGCCTGTGGCCGGCCCTTCGAGGCCCCCGTCCTCTCGGCGTTTCCGCGGCAGCCGGTGGGTGTCACGCAGAAGCAGGACCGTGCGCTCTGTGTGCTTGTGCTCCGGGCCTCTGTTCCTTGTGTCTGTCACCGTCTTCCTCTGCCTTGAAAGTTGCCCCTCCGGTCGTCAGCAGTTGCTGGTGTATCTGCCCTGCACGCAGGCACTGTGCCCGGGAGCCCTCCTCGCGGGGCGCAGAGACCACCTGGGTGCCCGGCAAGTGCCCTGGCCACCCCACCACCTCCCCCGCCCCTTTCTGCAAATGTCCCCCACCCCCCACGCCTTCCGATATTCCAGTTTCCGCTCTTTTAGGCCACCTGTGTGGTCCCAGCAGGCCTCGACACTGTGTGTTTGTTCTGCCTTTTCCCCCCTTCTTCTGTCTGGGTTGTTTTGATAATTGTCTTCTTGCTCGGGGGTTGTTTTTTTTTTCCCTCTTGCTCTCTCCGGGATGCTGTTAAACTCTCTGAATCTCATACTTTCCCTGCATGCACGTACGCCGGTCACAGCGGTAGGTGGACACCTTAAACCTACACAACGCTGGTTTTGTCTCAGTAGAAACCAAGTAGGTTGCAGTTGGTGTTGTCTTTTTTCTTTGACTCTTTAGCTCAGATCTCTCCCTTTGCTCCTAGTCTGGTTTCCTTGTCCGCCTGAGCTTCCCCGGTCGTTCGTGCCGGCCCTTCTTCAGACCTTTGGTCACACACGTGATGATGCTTCTGAGTCTGAGCCTGCCCCTTCCGACACCACTTCCCTGCTCTCACCAAGCCGCTGCTGGGCATATTCACTGCATCATCGCCCGAGGAAGCTGCTTATCCGTCTTGGTCCGAAAGCTTTTCCTGCTTGCTTGAAGGAAGCAAGGCGTTTGTTCTTGTCGCCTCCTACGAAGATGTGTTGGCTGCTGGGTTCTGATCCCCCTGAGAACACCCGTGAGCGTTCGTGGGCGTTCAACTCACTTGCGGCTCAGCCTGGTGAGGAGGGTCAGAGCTGCCCCCCCGGGGGAAACAGTGTCGCTGACAGTGTCCACTTTCTGGACGGAGGCTGGGGACAGGTGGTCACGAGGACGCCCCACTCTGCACCGCTGCCTCGTAGCCTCGGCTGGGCCCTGGCCTGTGTCCCCCGTGAGACCCTTCCAGAGTCCTGCCCAGCGTGCGTGCTGTTGAGGGCGGAGGCACCTGGAGAGAGAGCGGGGTGCTCTGGGTTCCCCCCTCTCTCTCTCCGGCTCGGTTGGCCTGTGCTCTGGGCACTGCCTGCCCCTGTGCTCTGTGGCCTGAAAGGGCCTGCTCTGGAGAAGTCTAGCTCGATGGCGGAGATGCGTAGATGTCTGCCTCGGTGGCGGAGACCTGTGCTTGCTGCCCCTCTCCCAGGGACTCAGTTTTGAGCCGGCTGGTCGCTTATGGACAGTGGCAGATCCCTAACTTTTGTCCGCTTTGCCCGTGGCTTTTCGGGTGATAAGCCAGTCTGGTCCTGACCGTGACGGGTCTGCGTGCAGAGACCCTTCGCTTCTGAGAGCTTGAGTCATGTGCAGGAACTCCAGGCTCCCATTGTAGCGACAGTGGGACCAAGAGCAACCAGTACGGTTCTTGCCGTCCTCACGAGAGATGCAGTTGCTTGGTCGTGACCTGGCAAAATGGGCAGAGAAAGATGTTTGGTGAAATCCTGAGAAGTAACGCCGGGGAACATTTCTCCTTTGCTCCCCGAGGAGCCGGCAGTGGAACAGCCCAGCCTTTGCACGTGGGGAAAAACGGCCTTTTGCGTGGCTCAGAGCTGTAGCTCGTCAGTCTGTCCGGTGGGCCCGGGTGTTCATTGCCCAGTTCTTTTGCACATGGAAACTTGAAAATAAATTCCTAGTTTGGCTCTCGTGGCCATTTCCTAGTTTGTTGTCTCTTGCACCCGAGACCTTTTTGGTTCGAAATCCTAGAAGTCGAATATTCCCACCCACGGATGAACTGGTGTTTGGCCTCGAGAGCCGTGGGCTGGGCGGCTGCCCTCCCGGGGTGCCCGAGAGCGTCTCACGGTTCTCTCTCTCCCTCCAGAACGCCGAGGCCTGGAACAACCTCTCGACGTCCTACATCCGGCTGAAACAGAAGTAAGTTCCCCTGCCGAGTGTGGCGGGCTTCGCTCCCAGAGTCAGGGCAGGTTTTCTCGGACCCGCCCTCTTTCCCGTTCACCCAACTCACATCGCTGCGTTAAAATGGCTCTGTGCAGTCATTGGAGTGAGGTTTATTTCTCGAGGACATTTTAATATGCGGTTCCAAGAGAATTCCTGTTTTGATTTTCTTTTTTTTTGAAGAGGACTCACAACAGAGCTCATGGCTTACTCCTGGCTCTGTGCTCACGGGTCAGTGCCAAGGATCTCAAACCCGGGTCGGCCATGTGCAGTAAGGCAACACCTTATGCCCCGGAACTGTCTCTCTGGAAAGAACTGTTGTTTGAGGTTTTGTGCCTTCCCCTGGTCCCAGCCCGCGAGCCTGTCGTCAGCCCGCCAGGCCTGTGGCTTCTGATCCGCTGCTCTCTCGACTTCACTGAGAACGACAGATAGAAGCTGTTTCTTCTGGGAACGGGGCTGGAGTCTGGGCCCGAGAGGCGGTGTTCGGTCATGGCCGCTTGCCTTGTGCTCTGCTAACCCGGGTTCAGGCCCCGGTACCGCTGACATGCCTACACTCCGCGTGGACCTCCGGCTGTGAAACAGGCCGAGGCCCCGTGCGCCCAGAGTCCGGCATCTTGGGGTCCACCTCACCCACTGCCAGCGTGACAGAGGGACCTGCAAGGGTGGTCCGGGAACCCCCAGGAGGCGCAGCTGTGCCGGTGCAGGGTGGGGGCAGAGGCACGCGCCCCCCCCCCCCCAGGCCCGCCCGCCCCCCATCCCCCTGGAGTGTGCCCATGCACCCAGGCTGAGGCCCGTGTGTCCGCCGTTCTGGGCTGCTTTTCCCCGGGGGTCTCTCTTGGTAGTGTCCAGGTGGGCCCAGTGCGAGGCAAGTGCCCTGCCTACCCGCTGTGCTCCAGCCACTGGTTTTGATTTTTTTCAATTGAGCCTCCACCCTACGTGAATTCCTTTTCTTTCTTTCTTTTTTTTTTGGAGGAATATATTTCAAAGCTTCCGGAGATGATATTTGTAATGCTCCATTATGTATTTCTTGGCTGAGCTGCAGGCTTCAGAGAGTATTGTCTATACACGGTTAGGTGGTTTTTTTTTTCTTTTTTTTGTTTTTGAATCCCCGTGAGATGCAGTTACAAAAATTTCCTGTTTGAGTTTCTGTCCTACAGCGATCGAACACCCGTCCCTCCACCAGTGCACATTCCCCACCACCAGCGTCCCCAGTTTCCCCCCCGCCACCCTCTGCCCCCTGCCCGCCTTTCTCTCTGTCTCTGTCTCTGTCTCTGTCTCTCTCCCTCTCCCTCCCTCCCTCTCTCTCTCCTTTCGGGCATTATGGTTTGCAGTGTAGGAACTGAGAGGTCATCATCCGTGAGGTTTTTATTTTCTCCCTCCTGGTCTTCATTTCTCCTTGTTCCTGTTTTGCGATTCCTTTATCCTTAAGGTCTTTGTTGTTTTTGTTTTTGTCTTTTGCTTTTTGGGTCACACCCGGCGATGCACAGGGGTTCCTCCTGGCTCTACACTCAGGAATCACCCCTGGCAGAGCTCAGGGGACCCTATGGGATGCTGGGAATCGAACCTGGGTCAGCCGTGTGCAAGGCAAACGCCCTCCCCGCTGTGCTATCGCTCCAGCCCCTATCCTTAAGTTTTTAAGAGGCCATTTTGCAGGGGAGCTTGAGCTGCTTTGGGGGTCCTGGACGTCGCAGCCTCCTGATCAGCGCGAGGGCCGGGGCCGGGCCAAGTCTCCCGAGCGTTGTGTGCTCGGCGAGGGTTCCCCTGGGTGCTCCTGCGTCATCGCCCTCTGCACCCGGCTCCCCGCAGGGCCAAGGCTTTCCGGACCTTGCAGGAAGCGCTCAAGTGCAACTACGAGCACTGGCAGATCTGGGAGAACTACATCCTCACCTGCACCGACGTGGGGGAGTTCTCCGAAGCCATCAAGGCCTACCACCGGCTCCTGGACCTGCGGGACAAGTACAAAGATGTCCAGGTGGGCTGTTCACGGGTATTTCCTTGGGCGCGCCGTGCTCGGACTGGGTTTTCTGAATCAAGCCGCTACTGTCAGTCACGGTCACTATCCTCCCGTTATTCATCAATTTGCTCGAACGGGCCCAGTAACGTCTCCATTGTGAGACTTGTTGTTACTGTGTTTGGCATATTGAATACGGCAGGGGGAGCTTGCCAGGTTTTGCTGTATGGGCGAGATACTCTCGGTAGCTTGTTGGGCTCTCTGAGAGAGGAGGAGGAATCGAACCCGGCTCAGTCAGGCCGGCAGCTTGCAAGGCAAACACCCTACTGCTGTACTATCGCTCCAGCCCAGTTCTATATATGTATCTATGTGTGTGTGTGTATGTGTGTGTACATATACATGCATATATAATTACAAAGTCACTGTCACTGTCACTGTCCTCCTGTTGTTCATCGATTTGCTCGAGCAGGCCCAGTAATGTCTCCATTGGCGACTTTGTTGTTACTGTGTCTGGCATATCGAATACGTCACGGGGAGCTTGCCAGGCTCTGCCGTGCGGGCGAGATACTCTCGGTAGCTGGTCAGGCTCTCTGAGGGGGGCGGAGGAATCGAACCCGGGTCGTCCGAGCTGGGCCGGTGGCACACAAGGCCAACGCCCTACCGCTGTGCTATCGCTCCAGCCCACTACCGTCAGTATGCCTAGGAATTTGTTTTAAGCACATTTCTGCGAAAGCCAGATGCCGTGTCTAAAAATTGCGTGTTCTCTGGCGGAGTTTTCCTCACGAACTCTGACGTTTCCCCGTCGCGTGTGTGTGCCCCTGTAGGCTGTGACCCTGGTGCTCTGTGACTCGCCTTCCTGCAGGCGCTCGCATGTGACGAGTCAGGCCAGGCTGGGGCCGAGCGTTCAGCATCACATACGGTCCCCCGAGCCCCACCAGGACTGAGCCCCGAGCTCAGGGCCAGAGCAAGCCCTGGGCACCGCCAGGTTTGGCCCCAAGAGCAATGACGTGTACTGGAAACAAGCCGGCCTGCAGGAGCGGGTGCCAAGGGTGTCCTTGGCATGGCTGAGTGTCCCGGCCGGTCTGTGATGTCTTCCCAGGAGCAGCCCCCGAGGTGCAATCTCCTCTGTTCACGGAGCCCTTTAGCAAAGGGCCGTTGGGACCCTCGGAGTGGCCGTGAGCCTGGCGTTTTGGGGGGGTCTGGGGAAACAGCACCAAGGATCTGACGGCTCGAAGGCCGTGGCGGGTCCCAGTTAAGGGGTCATCTTTGCGGCCCGGGGCTAAGGTCCGGCCCTCACCCGGTGGTGCTGGGGGCCATCCAGCACTGGGAATCTGAACTGGGGCCTCCGCCTGCCGGCCCCTCAGCGCTCCTCTATCGCTCTGGACACGACAAGGCTCCCATGACCTGGGGCCGACGGGGCGGCCCTCGGGGGGAGGAGCACTCGCCGGGGTGTTCAGAATATTTTTATCTCCGCTAAAAACAATTTTACTTAATTTGACGCCGCAAGTTTGGCAGCAGGTGTCTTCCAGAATAACTCTGGCATTCTTACGCCGGCCGCCGCCCGACCCCAGGCTATTTTCATTTGCTTTCGGATTTTCTTTTTATGTCGCTTTTCTTATTTGGCATGGGGTGGGGCCGCAGCCAGTGATGCTCAGGGCTGACTCCTGGCTCCTGCGCTCAGGAATTCCAGCTAGCGGGGCTCGAACCCGGGCCAGGCCTGTGTGAGGCAGGCACCCTTCCCGCTGTGCTCTCGCTGCAGCCCCGTGACGGAGCTTTTCTGCTTCTGTGTGGATGAGGTTGCTGTCATGTCAAGTTTCCCGTGTGTGTGTGTGTGTGTGTGTGTGTGAGAATCTGTGCTCATTTGAACGCAGAGCGGATCAGTCAGCCTGACACTGTCCCCTCTCTGGCTTCTGTGGAGGATTGGCTGGGTGACCCTCTCTCTCGTCCCCTTCTCCCATTTCTCTCTGTCCCCCCATTCTGACCGCTGCGTAGACGCGCAGAGCTCAGGCGTGTGGCTTCACAGCTGCTCGAGTTGTGCTCAGACACACCTTTCCCGATGCTGACACTCGCTTGTTGCTGTGTCACTTCCCGGAGTCGTACCCCGAGCGTCCCCCAGGACGAGCCCCGCCCCGGCCCGATCCGGGCGTGGGTTTGTGAGCTGGTCTCTCGCCGTCTTCGCCCTCTTCTCGCCCTGCTCCCGGCTCTCCTTTGATGACTTGGCCCGGTCATTTTGGGAAAAGAATGTGCGTGCTGCCTCGTCGTCCCGCATTTGCTGTTTGTGAGCAGGGAGGAGGGGATTAGCGTGCCCTGGATGCTTACTGTGTCTCTGCCCTTTTGCTTCTGACTGGCCGCGCGGATTAGCTGGGGTCAGGGTTAGACAGTATCCGAGAGGAGACCGTCAGTATCCCTCCCCCTGCCGAGGCTGGCTCCGAGGCCCTGACCGGCTGTGAAACTTGGGTCACGGCTATGCACCTCTGGGTATCTGTCCCCGGGGGTCCTGCCTTCGGGCCTGCGGGAAGGTCCCTGCTAAGATGCGCGTTTCCAAATCCAGCCCACACTGCAGATCAGGCCACCAGGCCACCGAGAGCCTTTGCTTTGTACCTGATGGCATGAGAGCCAGGAGCCCTCAAGCGCTGACGCGGATGTCAAGAAAAGGAGTCGCTCGTACACAAGAGAGTCACTCATACACAGTGGACCGGGCTGTAAGCTGGTGCTGCGAGTAGGATGGAGAGACCTCACATCATTGAAATCGGAGCTGTCCTATGAGTCACTGTGCCTTTTCTGGTCGGGCCGGAAGGAAGGGAAGGCACTCATTGAGAAGGATCTGTGCACCCCTGTGCTCGCCTCAGCGCTGTTTACACCAGTCAAGACCCAGAAACAGTCCAAGTATCCACGAGGAGGGGAACGGATGAAGAAAATGCGATGTGCAGTGGAGTATTACTCAGCCCTGAAAATAAACTGAACTGCTTCTTGGACCACTGTGGGTGGAATCTGATAAGTGAAATCAGAGAAAGACAAATTCAGAATACTAAACGTGCTCTCATCAGTTGGCATGATGGCACCCATCGTAGGCTGTTGTACATAAATGCCATCTCATTGGATGTGCCTTGCCGCGCCCAGCCCACAACCCCCACAAACCCTCAGCTTCACACTGCCCCATCTGCAGAGCTTTGGGGGGTGTCCACCGGTCCCTCGGACCCCATCTCGCACCTCCACAGCAGCCCCTGCAGAGCCAAGGAAACTGTTTGCTTCGACTCCTTTTCTTCCCGTTAGTCTGGGACTAAACCCTCGGCTGTTTCTCTGCCTTCAGACTTCCTTTACTCCTGTGACCCGTCCGCTCCCTGGCATGCGGCAGGGTCTCCTCATGGGCTGAGTCCTGCCCACTGCGCTTCACTCCTCATCTTCGTCCGCCTATCCGTCACCGGGGCCCGGGGGCCGTTGCCAGGTCCTGGGTTGCGGACAGCAGCGGTGATCGCTGGGACACAAACGTCCTCTCGGAGTCATGATTTCACAGCCTTCTGCTGCGCGGCTCAGCTGGCCCATCTGCCTGAAGTATTCTGAGAACTCTCCATGCTGTGTCCCACGAACGCCGGGCCGACTTGAGACCCCCCACCCCACCCCCCTTAGGGGACGAGAAACTCTGTATTGCAGCAGCCCCTGATCTGGGGCTGATGGGAGCTGCCAGCCTCACGGGTGTGAGGTGGGTGCTGGCTTTCCTGGGCAGAGCGGGAGAAAGCGTTTCACACTTGTGCCTTTGACAGTTTGTCAGTTTTGGGGAAGTTCTGTTCCCCTCCTTGGCCCATTTTTTTTTGTTGTTGTCAGGGAGTCAGCGTGTTGTGGTGCTGATTTTGTGAGTTCTTGGCGTTTTTTTGGACTCGTAGAACGCGTGCGACGGGATCTTTCTGTTCTCATGACGGTTTCCTTGGCGTGCAGAAGCCTTTCAGTTCCTAGTTCATTTGCGAATCTTTGTGTTCGTTTTTCTTACCTCTGGAGTTTGATCTCCTGATGCAGCACTGAAGTTGGCCGAGGCGAGTGGGTCGCCGTTGGTCTCGTCTTTCTGTTTAGGGCGTAAGGTCTCACAGTGAAGAAGATCTGTGGAGGATGGAGAGAGAGCACAGTGGGTCCGAGTCACTTGCCCGCCACGAGACTGACCCGGGTTCAGATCCCAGCCACCACAACGGGGTCCCCCGAGCGTTGCTGGCCCGGTTCCTCTCTGGAGTGCATTTGTGTTTGTGACAGGAAACGTCATCCAGTTTCATTCCTTCACGTGCAGTCTCCCCGACACCCTTGGTCGTAGAGACGGCCCCTCCCGGGAGCCACGCATCTGTGGCCTGGATACTGTCTGCAGGCGTCTGGGTGTATCTGTGGCTCTCCATTCCGTGCCACGGATTCCCGGGCTGCTTGTAGACTCGACCACACTGGTTTGAGTACTGCAGCTTTGGAATGTGCTTTGAAGTTAGGCTGCGTGATGCGCTCCTGCATGTGCAGTCGTCAGGCTGTATCTGGTGCTGTGCAGGGGCTCCTCCAGGCAGTGCTCAGGGCATGCTCCCTCCTGCAAAGCAGCACTCCAGCTCTTGGCGCTACCTCCCGGGCCCAGGACGGTCCTTTTCCTGTGTGGGGGAGAGTGGGAGGAGCACACGGGGCCAGCGCTTGCGGCCGCTCTTGGCTCTGCTGAGCTGATAAGAACAGAGTCGACACTGGAGCTTGGCCAAAAGGCCACAGAGGGACCACCGTTGGCTCTGGGGCTAGGGACCACCCCGGCTCTGTGCTCAGGCCACGCCTGGTGGGTCTCGGGGACCCTCTGTGGCCCAGGGTGCAAGGGTGCGATGGCAGCTGCGTGCGGGCCAGGGGCCCTTCTCTCGGGGCCACCTCGGGGACCCCCTTCCGATTTTTCCTCAGGATTGGTTTGTCTGTCCTGGCGTCCCTTGCCGTCCCGTAGGAATCCAGCACTGAACCTTAACTCTGCACGTGAGGAAGGCCGTTGGAATTTTGGTGGAAGCGCTTTCAGCCTGTATGATCGGATTAGGGCGGTCACGTTAGCAGTAAAAATTCTTCCCGTCCGTGAGCATGAAATGTTTTTGTTTTGTTGTGCCTCCACTGCCCCCCACCCCCACCCATTTCTTTCATTAACTAGCGCTTGTCGTTTTCATCGCACAAGCCTGAGGAAGGCACGTTTTGCGCGATCTCTCCTAGAGACCGAAATCTTAAGCATAAAAAATAAGAAAAACGCAGTGTATGGATAAGAGAGCGAGTCAGCGGCAGCGGTGGGTGGGCGGGAGGGGACGGGCTCCTCTGGGGGTGCTGGGGGCTCCCCGCGGTTCCCAAGGCCTGAGCTTCACCTGCAGGACGCAGGCGTGGACGGCGAGGGCCAGCAGGGCTGTCTCCACGACGAGGGACATCTGCCCAGGCCCAGGCCCAGAGGACAGGGACACAGTGGCCGCCTGACACACACACACACACACACACACACACACACACACACGATGGATTCCAAACGGTGACAGTCTGCCAACTCTGCTTTCGCCTGTTTTGCCTCAGAGGAAAGTTAGGAAGCCGGAGTGGACACGTGCCCAGTCCCCTGCGCTTGGAAGCGATGGAAGAGAAAAGGGGAAGGAATCCATGACCACATCCAAGAGCTATGTGGCCAAATGTTCGTCACGAGTAGGGGAGATCCGGAGGCGAAGAACGCCCTTGTCCCGGGAGGAGTGAGCACCCGCCTGGGCACGCGCCGGGCAGAGTGGAGAACGCCGACGGGGCGGACGCTCACATCCGGGGATGTTCGGAATAGGATTTTCAAGAGGGGCTTGGGGGTCGGCCAGGTGTCGGGGGCCAAAACCTGAAGCGCCGCCGGCCACCTTCCACCCAGATAGACTCGAACGGGCAAAGATAGGTGTGGCCCCCGGGGAGCAGGGCCTGGTGTCGGGGGTCTTGCTCAGGGACGGGGGGCAGAGGGGGATGGGGGGCTCGCTCAGGGCGAGGGCTGGCGGCCCCTCACGGGACTGGAGGAGTCGGCGCGTAAACACGGGGCCGAGCTCGGGAGAGGCCGGCTGGCGCAGGGCTGGCTAGTGCCACCTCACCCTCGTCCCAACGATGAAGACGTCCCCTCGGAGAAAGGGGGGCGGCACTGGCGTCGGGCGTTCTCCCCTGTCACACAGAAGCCCGGTACCAGTAAGAGAAGGATCGAGATATATGGAAGTTTAAAACCCCCATCCCCAGGGGCCCCAAGAGAGAGGACAGGGGCAGGAGGGCATTTGCCTTGCCCTGACCTGGGTTCGACCCCCCCCTCCCCCCACGACCCACAGTGTCCCCCAAGCACTGCCAGGAGTGAGCTCTGAGCATCGCCTGGCGTGAGCCAGCCCCACCCCCCATGGAGGACAAAACACACCTCCTGCCCCTAAGGTCTGACCTTTGACAGGAAGTGGCCCCCGAGCAGAGCAGAGCAAGGTGACGGCCCAAGGCCGCCTTTGTGGGGGTCCCTGGGGCTCAGCCTGGGGCAGGAAGGCTCAAAGCCAGCTCTGCCCCAGTGCGGTCTCTGCCGGGTGCTGGAGGCAGGCACAGGGACCCACCCCCTCCTCTCCCCTCGGTCTCCTCAGGGCACAGGCCGCAGCAGACCCCCGGCCCCCCCACACCCCACCCCTCCACTGACCACCAGGCATTCGGCCCTCGGGCCTCATGGGGCCATTGCTGTCCATTTCCACCCCGTGCACTTGTCTGGGGCCTCGTCTTACTTTCTTTTGGCTTCTTGGTGTTTGGATTTGGGGCCACCCCCCCCCGCAGTGCTCAGGGCGTCCCTCCTGGCTCTGAGCTGCGGGGGCCCTGTGGGGTGCCGGGGCTCGAACCCGGGCTGGGCACGTGCAAGACAGATGCCCTCCCACTGTCCCACCTCCCCGGCCCTGGGTCTGTTTCTGGCCGCAGGACCCCCGCCGGGGTGGCGGTGTCAGGGCACCTGGTGTCGGGCCCGCAACTCCCGTGTCACACGGGGGCTGCTCTCTGCCTTGCGTGGCCCCGCCCACTGACCAGTGACCCCCTGTCCTGCCCAGGTGCTGACGGTCCTGGTCCGCGCGGCCGTCGAGGGCACGGCTGACCGCCACGGGGACGGTGCCGGCTGCCTCCAGGGGCAGCTGCGGGAGCTGCTGGGCCGGGTGACGTCCAGAGTGACCAGCGACGGTGCCATCTGGAGGCTGTACGCCCGGCTCTACGGCGACGGACAGGACGGGGCGCCCGAGGAACTGGACAAGGTCGGTCGGCACCGGCAGCAGATTGGAGCATGCCAGAGGGACCTGGTTCCCGCTGGGACACGGCCGGGGTGGCCGCACGCCTTTCTCTGCACGCACACACGCATGCCTGCACGCCTGCCTTCCTTTCCTTTTCCTTCTTCCTTCCTTCCTTCCTTCCTTCCTTCCTTCCTTCCTTCCTTCCTTCCTTCCCTTCTTTCTTCCCTCCCTCCCTCCCTTCCTTTCACACCTGGCAATGCTCAGGGGTTACTCCCTTCCTTCCTTCCTTCCCTCCCTCCTTCCTCCTCTTCTTCCCTTCCCTTCCCTTCCCTTCCCTTGCCCGTGTCCCTGCCTTCCGCACCCAGCCCTCAGGCCTCCCTGTGGGCCCCGTCCTATCCCCAAGGGTGGGGGCGGCCGCGGGCGTCTCCTGCCATGGTTTCCCTCCCGCCCGCCGCTCCCCGTTCTTCTGGTTCACTTTCCACGGGGCCGCTGCTCCGCTCCGGCCGTGGAGAGGCCGTGGCCTCCGGTGTCCCTCGGGCTGGCGGCCCTGTGCCGTCCTGAGTGGCTCTGTCCCCCCCCCCCCCCCCCCCGGCAGGCATTCCAGTATCTCTCCAAGGCCTACAAGTGCGACACCCAGGCCGGCTGCTGGGAGAAGGAGGTGCCGTCGTTCAGGGCCGTGGTCCAGAGCGCCTTGGACCTGGCACGCGGTACGTGATGTCACCCTGGGGCCGGGGCATGTCTCAGTGTCCCGGGTGCAGTTTCTAAACACCTGGTCCCAGGCACAGTGTTGGGCGGGGGGGGGTGGTTCGTCTCCCTTTCCGGATGAAAAGATTCACGAGTCTCGCGGCTGGAGCAATAGCACAGAGGGAAGGGCGTTTGCCTTGCACGCGGCCAACCTGGGTTCGATTCCCAGCATCCCCTGTGGTCCCCCGAGCACCGCCAGGAGTAATTCCTGAGTGCAGAGCCAGGAAGAACCCTGAGTATCACTGGGTGTGACCCAAAAATTAAAGATTCACAAGTCTGATCCCAGCACGGGAGCGTGTGGGGAGTGGTGACCGGCCAGAGCGGGGACACCCCATGGGCCCCACGGAGCCTGCACAGAGTCTCTCCCACCCGACGCTCAGGTGACAGCCCTAGCCCTAATCCTAACCCTAATGGCCCTGCTGGCCCTGCAGATCTCTGAGGGCCCCGGACAGCAGGTCCGATCAGATGGTGCAGCGCCGAGTGGGGCGAAGTCTCACCTGGCCTCTGAGAAGCCGGCTGGGACCCCACCGTCCCTCTCGTGGCCTTCGACCCCTGGCAAGTGCCAGTGTCCCGTTGCTGGGGCGCCTGGCCCTTCTAGACGAGGCGGCTGCCCCAAGCTGCAGCTCCGAGCCTGGGGCTGGTGGGGGCGGCTGGGCCCAGGGCAGGTCACACGGGGGCCAGACACTGGTGCCAAAGTCCTGGTTTCGGGGACCCTGGTCAGGACAGCGTGGCCTGACCCGAGCAGGCTGCCATTTGCCTCGAAACGGTTCTTACCGACGTAAACCTGCCGACCCCAAAACTGTCCCCGAGAGCTGACCCCTCCCGGTCGGAGCGAGACCCCTTCTGGAGGGACTGGAGGACATGGCGTGGATGGCCATTTGCCGTGGCATCGCCCACCTGGCTCGATGCCGTCTGGGGCAGTGCCCTTAGGATTCGCCCTCCAGGGTGGCCACGCCTGGCCCCGCTTCCGGTTTCAAGGCCGAGGAAGCCTGGGAGGGCCAGAGCCGGGGGCAGCCCCTGAGGCGAAGACCAGGTCGGAAGGAAGCGGCTCCCGTGGCGTGACGTGTCCCCTTCCCCACGCAGTGGCCATCAGGTGCAGCGGGACCAAAGCCAGCCCCCAGGAGGCCGTGCAGGTGCTTTCCTCCGTGCGCCTGAACCTGCGGGGGCTGCTGGCCAAGGCCAAGGTGAGTGCCGGGACGGGACACCCCCACCAGCCGCCCTCGGGGGCGGGGAGCACTGTGGGTCAGGCCGGCGGTGCTCAGGGAGCACTCCCGGAGTGGGTCGGGCACCCTGGGTGGCACCAGGGATGGAAGCGAGTCGGTCACACTCAGAGTAAGGGCCCTGCCCACTGTCCTGCCGCTCTGGGTTGGCCCGACGCTGGACACCAGCGCTGCCTGGATTCGGGGGTTGTGAGTTTCCCCAAGTGGGAAAATGTCTGGGAGAGCCCAGACCCACGGGCCTCACACCATGCCCCGCGCTTAGCTGCCGCCCCGTCTCTGGGACCCCACGGAGCCCCTCTCTGGCCCTACTCACATGCCCCCATCTGTCGTAGTAACCTCACACACACACACACACACACGCACGTACGTTATTCACGGGAAGGCAGCCGGCTGGTAGAAAGCAGGTAGCTTTGTGGTGACGTTTAGTCATGCACACACAGTCCAGAAGCTCGCCTGCCTCCCCCCCCCCCCGCCCTTCCCACTCCCGCCCCCTCCCTCCTCCCTCTCTTCCCCGCCCGACCGCGAACCAGGCAACTGTTGTACCTGCTGTGACTTCCACTCCAGCCCTATAGTTGCATTGTTTTCATTTATTGTTGGGGGGGGGGGGGCACACCCAGCAGTGCTCTGGGTTCACTCCTGGCTCTGCACTCAGGAATCACTCCTGGCAGTGCTCGGGCGACCATATGGGACGCCAGGGATCGAACCCGGGTCGGCCGCATGCTGGTGGCTTACCCGCTGTACTTCCGTTCTGCTCCCCATAGCGGCATCATTAGAGTAGAGTAAGCCTCCCAGAGTTACCCTTTTTGCAGCAGGAGGGTGTGTCTTTTATTTGTTTGGCTTTTCCAGTTTGCTTTCACCAAATCTTTGTCTTCCGTGGCCCCTGAGTCCTGTTCCGGACTTAGTTTCCACATGTCTAACGGCCGTGGTCAGTGTGACTATGAAGTGGTCTTGCCTGTCTGCCCGGCGCATGGTGCTTTGTTCGAGGGATCCCGTCTGCCCGTCCACATCTCCCCCTGTGGCGTTGCCCTTGCCGGCAGAACTCAGGGGCATGTGCCCGGTTGTCTTCCTGCCCTGCCCGGTGGGCGCAGCTGGCACTGCCCAGGGGGCCACCAGCGTCGCCTCTGTGCTGAGGCACCGCCAAGCCAAGGGCCCTCAGGCCTGACTCGCTGGACAGAGGCTGTCGCCGTCTGATCACCTGCTTTGTTACGTTGCAGCAACTGTTCACAGATGTGGCGACTGGGGAGGTTTCGGAGGAGCTGGCCGGGGATGTGGCCGCCATGGACGCGCTCGTCACGGAGCTCCAGGACCTGAGCAACCAGCTTCGGAATCAGTACTGACCGGCTGTTCTCTCCTCCCAGTCTCTTACACCTGCATTCCTACAACACCAGAGAGTGATTGTTGTTGTTTTATTATTATTAATATTATTATTATTTTTAGAAATAAACAAATGTCTTATATGTCTTACCTTCTTGGTCTCATGATTTTCTGATTTTTCTGGCGGAGAGCTGGCAGAACATTCCCATTTTCTGCGACCGTCATCCTAGTCACATGCAGGACATTCCTTCTTGAGGCATTTCAGCAGAAAGAGCAAGAAAACCCATTGTTGTCTTTTCCGCCTAGTTTTTATCCTCTCGCAGCCTGAGATGCATTAGGTCATTCTTTGGAAAAACAGAACAAATAGGAAAAACACACACTGCAAGTTTGTGGGATTGTTAGATCAGCTCTTATGGTCCCGAAGTGATTTGAAAAAACAGAAAGTCAACCTAGCGATGGAAACCTTGACGCTTTGAGTGGAGAGATTGGGGCGTGGCTTAACGCTGAAATCAACAACACACAAGGGGAAAATTGGACAGGATCCAAACTTTGACTCAACCATAAGCCACTGGTAACCAGGCCAACCCTCCGCACTGGATCCTCCAGGCCTCAGGAGGGCTCATCAGCACAGTCACGTGAAGGTGCCACATGACCAACATCCCGGAGCAAATGCTTCAGCGGTGACGTCGGGACCCGGGACTGAAGGCAGCCGTGGAGCCGACTCTGCCTGCATCCCTGACCTTCTGGTACTCCAGTGATTCTAATGTTGTTCCTCTTGAAATCATCCCCTAGGACTCTGATTTGCGAGTCTTCTTCCTGCAGAAGCCACACGGGGGTGGCTGGCGTGGATGCTGAATCCTGGCGTGGAACTGCATTCCTGCGTCTCACACACGTCACGGGGGTCTTTGCTTTTCTCCACGTTCTAATTTATACACTGGATAATTTCTAGTCCTTCCTTTGTGAGTTTCAAGGGCTCTTGGAAGTTCAATCAATGAAAGTACATCCTATGTTAAAAAGCACCATTAAAAACATCATTAAAGCCTCTGTGAGTTTGGTGATGGATCTCTGGTACATAGACTATTCCATTCTATGGCTGCCTGCTCTTACCCTCAGTATAATACCAGAGGAAAAGAAAAGAAAAGGCATTTCTTTAGGGATAATCACTGAGTTCATTTTTTGGTAGATAGCCGACCAGTCTTCCAGCACCACTTGTTGAAGAGGCTTTCCGTTCAGTATTTACCTGAGGACCTGTGTCAGGATAGTCAGCTCTGTTCCGCTGGCCTGTGGGTCTTTCTTTACTTCAATGCCATGCTGTTTTGATTACTACCACTTTGTGTTATGGTTTGAAGTTTGGGAAGGTGATACCTCCCACCGTCTTTTCCCCAAGGAGCTTTAGTTATTCGTGGGGGGTTATTGCTTCGTATAAATTTCAGGGGCATTTCACCTATTCCTTTGACAAATGGCATGGGTGTCCCTTCGAGGGACCGCATTGAGTGTGTGCAGTGCTTTGGGTGAGTATTGCCATTTTGATGCTATTAATCCCCCAGTCCATGAGCAGGGGGTGTGTCTCCGTTTCCTGGTGTCCTCTCGTTTCTTGAGTAGCGTTCGTAGTTTTCTTTGTACAGATCCTGCCCCTCTTTAGTTGGATTCCGAGGTCTAACTCGGCAAACTGAGGCAGCACCTGAGTTGGTCACTGTTTCCTCGAGCCCCTGCCACATCCCACGCTGACGCCATGTCAGCTTACTTGCCAGCCCTGCTCCAGAAACACCCAGTGAAATCTTGAAACAGGCCAACTAGCCGCAAAAATGTCTCGGATACACCTGTCCCGGCTGAGACTTCCAGGGCAACTTTGGGGGGGCGGGTGGGCCGAGCTCCCTCCGTACCAGAACCCAGAGCTGCTCTCACACCCCAACAGCTGCTGCCATGCCTGTGGCCACACAAACGACAATTTCAGGGACAACAGGGTATTCTTTTGGCTGAAAACTCAGGGCCTTCTTGAATCCCAGTGGGTAGCCTCCCCCACTGCCCCAGATTCCAGAAATCCCGGCCGCCACACCCACATTCTACCACCGACATGTAAGCTCACTCCCCAGTTAGACGTTCTGGGTTTTCTGGGGCAACATCTCCAAGCTCTCCGGTACTAACATCCCACTAAGAGCACACCAGAGTGGGTGGGGTGTCACATAGAAGCCAACTAAGCTTAACTGACAGAAACATTAACACAGGAGCTTAACTTGCAACAACAGCTTAGCAAACCCTCAGACAAGGACTTCATGTCCCCATGGGAGGATACAATTTTCACAGTTTCTTTTACTCAAGTATTTTTTGATCATTTCATTAGCCATTTTGGGGTATAAAGCAATATAGAATAATTATTGTGGGCTTGCTACCGGGGCAGGCTTGAGGGGTGGTTGGGAGTCAACGGTGGAGGGAAGGTGACGGTGGTGGCGGGATTGGGGTTGGAAGAGTCAATGCCTGGAACAAGTCATCATGAACAGCTTTGTTACCCATACTGTCTAAATAAAGTGGGGGGGGGGGGACAAAAAAACTGTGAAAGATCAAAAAAATGATACATAAATTATTAGGGAATTGGTGGTAGACGGATGATGGATCGATGGTGCATGGATGATGGATCGATGGTGCATGGATGGCCGGCGCAGGGTGAGTCGCAAGGTCTGCGTGGCTGCGTGTGGGCTGAAACCAACTCTGGGCATGTAAACTGGAACCAGGTGACCAGCATCTCCCAACCCCAGATGGGGGCCTGCCCGCCTCTGCCCACAGAGTCCCCTTGGTAGCCATGGCTCCGCCTGCACCAGTGCTTTGATCCAAGGCAGAACCAGGCACTGTATCCCGGGAACCCCAGTGTCTACCACGAGCCCCAGTTTCTACCAAGAACCCCAATGTCTACCAAGAACTCCAATGTCTACCAAGAACCCCAATGCCTACCAAGAACCCCAATGTCTACCAAGAACCCCAGTGTCTACCACGAGTCCCAATGCGTACCAAGAACCCCAATGTCTACCATGAGCCCCAGTGCCTACCAAGAACCCCAATGCCTACCAAGAACCTCAATGCCTACCAAGAACCCCAATGTCTACCAAGAACCCCAATGCCTACCACGAGTCCCAATGCATACCAAGAACCCCAATGCCTACCACGAGTCCCAATGCATACCAAGAACCCCAGTGTCTACCAAGAACCCCAATGCCTGCCACGAGTCCCAACGCGTACCAAGAACCCCAGTGTCTACCAAGAACCCCAATACCTACCAAGAACCCCCATGCCTACCAAGAACCCCAGTGTCTACCAAGAGCCCCAATGTCTTCCAAGAACCCCAGTGTCTACCAAGAGCCCCAATGTCTTCCAAGAGCCCCAGTGTCTACCAGGAGTGCAGTGGCTGACCACACTGGGACACCTCGGGAGTAACGAACGTACCACAGTGGTAGTGAGTATCCAACACATTGACTCCCTCCCCCCGCCTCCCCCCCCCCCCCCGTGCCCACTTCCCGTTCCCCTGAGGTGACCACAAAGGCCAACAGCAGGTGAGGTGAAGCTGTGCTTCGGGTGACGTGTGCTGGCGTGTTTGGACTGTAAAGAGAGCCAGGATGAACGTAACGACCCCAAGACGGGTCTGGGATCACTCGTGGGCAGCGGGCCAGGCCACAGGGGCAGCAAGGGCTTCTGGAAGTCGGCTGGGTCAGAGTTAATGCACTCGTGCTGGCCGGCCTGGGTTCCGTCCTTCCCGGAACATCATCTTGGCCCCGTGAGTCTGGCTGACTGCCCGCCCCCAGCGCCTCCACTTGCCGGCTCTTCCTCCTTGCCTCTTTCTCTCCGAGGAGACTGACCCCACTGTCCCTGTCAGCCCCGCGGGCTGCGGCCCTTCCTGGGCGGGGAGACTCGAATGTCCCAAACACACTCTCGCCTCCCTCATTGCTGGGTGCTGGGCTTGGGCGCTTCTTGGTGCTGGCTGCAGTTGGCGTCCACAGAGGGGTCAGCCCTCTCCGCCGCCCCTGGACCCCAGGCCCCTTCCCCCTGCCCCTCTGTCCTTAGAGGAGACTGTCCCACCCGCCCGTCCCGGGCCTCCTCCACGTCCACCCATACCACTGTGCCTGTCCTTTATGTCTTCCGTGGTCTTCCCACATCGCTATCCGGATGAATAGCGAGGCGCGGGCCGGACAGAACCTTGCCGGCCTTTGATCTTTCATAGGCGACTGTCCCCGTGATGGCAACCTGCCTCGCCCCATTCTCCCAGGGGGCGCGTGGGGTTGGCACAGTGACAGCCCAGAGCACCGCTCAGCGCTGCCTGGTCTGAGGGAGGATGTGGCTGGGATGGACCCCAAGGCCCTCCACTGCTCTGGCTTGGGAAGGGTGTGGCCGGGTGGAGGCAGATCTGCCCCCCACACACACACACCGACGGCTCCTAGGAGCCCTAGCGGGGAGAGCGGGTGGGTCCCCCATGCCGGCCCCCACCTTAGGTGCCTCGGACGGTCTAAAGAAGAAATTGCGCTCACAGCTCCATGGGGAGGAAGAAAAGCAAACCCAGTCTATGACCCAAACCGGGACACGTGAGGGTTTGAGGTTTCTCGGGAAGAATTCCAAGACTGCGTGTTTCTGGGTTGCATCTCCGGGCAGCCTGAGACCCGGGGACCTGCAGATCAAAGGCGTGATTCATCCCGGCTCCAGAGGCCGCCTGTCCTCGCCCGTTTCCCGCACCCAGGCGGCCCGCCCGCCTCTCCTTCCTTCCCTTCCTTCCACGGGAGTCGCAAATCAGCCCTGACGGCGGAGCTGGGTCTCTCAGGAATGTGGTCCGAGGTGGTTTCTGTGCAGAAAGGGAGCCGGGAAGGGGCTGAGCCCCCGCCAACGGGGAGTCTCTTATTACATCTACGTGGAGCAGAAGCGTGTCGGCGGTTCGGGGCCAGGCTTAGTCCCACAGAGAGGGACAGAGACAGAGACAGACAGAGAGAGACAAAGAGAGAGCACGCTGGCCACAGGAGCCATCCTTGAGCACAGAGCTGAGAGTATCCCCTGAGCACTGAGGGGTGAGTCCCCATCTCCAGCCCCTGTGACTATATCATGCTGTCTTCAGCCTGTTTGCTTTTTAAAAATGTGTTTTTAATTGAATCACAGTGAGATA